GTCTTCCCCATCCTATCCAACTTTATACTTGGTGCTTCCCTACTGGGCCTGTTCTCCCTACACAGGACAGTTCTGGACAAAAATGCAACTTTTTTTGGTTTTTGACTCACAGCCATAAGGAGCTGGAACGAATTACCTGGAGAAGAGCTCACTACAAGTTTGCACCTTGCCAAAGCTCTTCCCTCCTCCCAATACCCTGTTTGAAGATCTCACCTGCTCCTGGTCCTCAAGAGGGATTGGTCCTTGGGCTTTTGCTGAAAGATGCTGCAGCCCTCCAAAGGTAGCAAGTGTGTCCCTCGTGGGGCTGGTGACTTCAGCTAATGCCCATTGGGGATGTTCTGGCAGAGGTGTGACATGAGGGAGTGACCTGCAGACACCCGAGTGCTTTCTAAGCAGAGGCCTCTGTCACTCTTAGTCAGTAGCAAAAGCACCCCTGTGGTGTGTGTCCCCAGGTAGCTCTGGAGCATGGGACAGGCCTGAAGGGGACCAGGGTGCTGTCTGACTCAAGCTCCCCTGAGTGGCTCCATCCCAGCTTGGTGGTTGCCATCCTACCTCACCTGTGCACAATTAGAGCCAGTATCGTTCCAAAACGTTGTCACTTACCATCTGGTGGATTTTCACCAGGAACTAGAGCCTCAAGGACCCGGGGGCTAGTGACCTCACTGCCCGATCTGGGTAAGGAGTCTGGAAGCCCATTTCTCTCAGCACTGGACCTTCAGGACATTGCAACTCTGTTAGGATTTGGGAATCTTCTAGGGACTAGGTGCTTTCTTCCTGCCTTGCCTATTGACCTTAAGCCCTCCTAGTAGATGAATTAATGAATTCACCTCACTAATGTGGATGCAGTGCCTGTGGTTGGGTTGTTCCTGCCATCTGGGAATCGCCAATCTAATGGGACCAGCCAGCAATGGAACAATTGGGTGAGGATGACTGGGGCAAGCTCTGTGAGAGAGATGAAGGGCTGTGCTCAGAGGACATGCTGATGAACCTTCAAATGACCAAGCAGTGTACTGCTTGATTGAAACAGCCTGGTGGCATAAAGTATACTGTGAGGCTTCCTCCTCCTCCCTTACTAGCCTGACCCCCAGTGGTGCCAGGGCTGACAACTGCTGACTTTCACGTCTTTATCAACTTTAGCCGGTACTTGGCCATCAAAAATGAGGGCTATAGTATGGGGTGGGGTTTGTGGCTCAGTGGTAAAGCACTGTCCTTGTCCTTGTGTGCCAGGCCATTTGAGCCTAGCACACACACACACACACCTCTCTCATTTTTGTTATTTGTTTATAATATGGGCATTTTGCTCTGAAGGTACATGGAAATCTTTCACACACTGCTGTTGGTTGATGATACAATACTGGCAATGATGTAAGCTGTAAATGATGCCATGAGGTTTCTCCTGAGTCTGTGACTATGCCTACAGCAAGGGAACTGTAGATAAAAGGTTGCCCCCAGAATGCTCTGTGGGTGAGCTTGCCCAGCTGAGGTAGTCTGTCTCCTTACTGCCTTCATCCTCATTACCCCAAAGGTCAACTCAGCCAAATCCTTGTCTGTTGCCTTCACCTAGGGCATGTGGTAAGTAAACTTTGAATCTCTGCATGTCTGAAGATGAGTCTGGATGGCTAGATGTATGTTTGGCTGGGTATAAAACTCCGAGTCGGCACTTTGAAGCTGCTATTCCCACCCCTGTACCCAGTGTCACTGATGAGACTTGCTGCCATATGAGTTGTTTTTTGCAGATAGGATTTGTTCTTGGGCCTCAGGATTCTGAAATTTCCCTGGAACAGGTCTGGAGGTGGGTCATTTTTCATTTACTCTGACCTGGCTTTGGCAGGTCTTTTTATCCTAAACTGTTCTTCCAGTTCGGGGAAATGCTGTCCCACTGTCTATTTTTACTTCATGGTGTCTGTTCTCAGAACTCCTGTTACACAGTTGTTGGATTTCCAGGTGGCTCTTTCATGTCACTTAATGTTTCTCTTATTTTCTTCTTTCTTGTATACTTTTCTCATTAGGTCTTTGGATGTTTTTACTTTTTTGGGGGTTACATTTGAAAACCTGAAGTGCAGTTTGCATGTAGTGAGACATCTTGAACATGCAAGTTGATGGGCTTTGACAAATGCACACACAGGTGCAGCCTTTGTCCTCAGCTGAGGGAGAACATTCTCTCACCCTCCAAGCTTTCTCAGCCCACACGTCTACCCACCTCAGAGGCAACCCCTGTGCTCATGGTGACCCTTGTGTTAGTTCTGTCTTTTCCAGAGTTTCATAGCAAAATGGGATTGTATCAGACATACGTGTGGAGTCTAGCTTTTTTTATTCATCTTAGTGTTTTGAGGATTTACCCATGGTGGGAGATCAGCAGTTTTTTTCCTTTTTTGTGGCTGAGGTGTATTTGGATGAGTTACCACAGCTTGGTTTTCATTTACCTGGCCAGAGGTGTTTCCACTGACTCTAGGTGGGGCTGGAATGAAAGGAACTGCTATGGACATCTATGTGCCTGTATCTTTGGATTTCTGTTTCCTTTCTCTTAGGTGATCTCTGGGAGTGGAATGGCTGGACATAGAATAGGTGTGCACCCAGCAGCAGTGTGCAAAGAGGGGCTCATTATTCTCAGCTATCCTGGAACCGGAACGATCAATTGTGGTGTAGCTCTTCTGAGGGAGTGAAGGGGTGTCTCAGTGTGGTTTAACTAGTATTTTCCCAGTGACTAGTGGCAAATGCCTTTCATGTGCTGTTGGCCATTTCCATATCTTCGTTTGGTGAAGTACTCATTAATGTCTTTTGAAAAAAATAATGGAGTTTTGGACGTTCTTGCTATATTTGGGGTTCAAGTCCTTCGTCGGATAGCTAAATGACCATTTTAATGAGCAGAACATGTTTCCATTTTATTGTCTAGGTTAAAGATTCACATTTTTGTACTTAACATTTCATTGGATTATAGGAGGTCTTATTTTTAAATCAAGTCTAGCTTGATTGGCAAGAACTCTTTCTTGATTGTTGCTTTTTAAATAGAAGCTTGCTCTGTGTATGCTTGTCAGCCTCTTGGATCTTTATGGGAACTTAATGAAATGTTTTTGAAGTTGCCCTCATTCTCTGAATTGTCTTTCTGGGTTTGGCCTTGCTGATGGTCTCTCTAGGCTGTTGGGCTCTGTTGGTGAGGATTGCTGTCTTGCCCCACTGATAAGCGAAGGGGCCCATGAGGGTTTGTGTTTTGGGGCAGGAATCTGGTAGGCTTGGTAGAAAAATGGTATAATAGGTGCAGCTGCCATTTGGGAGATAATTTTTTTTTGGTGGTACTGAGGTTTGAACTCAGGGCTTTGCATTTGTTAGGCAGGTGCTCTACCACTTGAGCTACACTCCCAGCCCTTTTTTTTGCATTATTTTTCAGACAAAGTGTTGTATTTTTGCACAGGGCTGGTTTCAGGGCACCATCCTCTACCTTTGTCTCTTGCATAATTGGAATTACAGTGCCTGGCTTTTTGTTGAGATTGGTGGGGGGGTCTCAGTAACTTTTTGTCCAGTTTGACCCTTAACCTTCATCTTCCCGATACTTGCTTTCTGAATAACTGGGATTACAAGTGTTATCTACTACACTTGGTTCTTGGGAGATAATTTCTTAACAAGGTGACCCTTGTCATGACCCTATGGCTAACCTCTCCTCTCCATATTGGAGGCTGGCTTGACATAATTTGGGGCCTCTGAAGAAGCTCGGCTTGAGTTTCTTTTTAGCTTTGGTCTTTCCCAATCTATCCAAATTCACCTGCTTTCTGTCTTCCTGGAATGCCTCAGAATTTCCGTTCTATGTTCAGTCATGTTTATGGTTTCTTTTTGAAAATACACATGTCTCTTTTGTCACATTCCTGTGGTTCCTGTGTGGGAGGAGTCAGGCGTTGCTCTGTAGGCCTTGTAGGTTTCTTGGACCAGGCCAGGCAGTGACCTTGGGGATCATTCAGGTGGAGGCAAGGAGAGCACATTGTGCGTACAGAGTAGGGAGAGGCCATGGCTGGGCCCATGGATGTGGGTTGCATCTCGAAGATGAACTTGGAAGCACAGGGGGGCTTTGGAATGTGCAGCAATTTGAGTTTATTTGTGGTGCTCTATGGTGAGAGTCCATGGAAGGATTTGGGGAGGGGAGTGGAAGGACCAGTGTCCTGATGGACTGTGGAGGGGAATGAGGCGGGGGATCAGGTGAGGGGATGCCAGGGAAGATGGGGCAGGGAGGTCACGCTGCGCAAGTTTGGATGTGGTGCAGCGTTGGAGTTTCTCTCTGGGGGCCATGCAGAGTTCTTGACAGAGGATGCCCAGCTCAGGTACTTGGCAAGGGATCCTAGGATGGTGATGATGTTTATGTGCTTCAGGTCAGTCAGTTAGCTCTGCTGGCTCAGCTGGGCATAGTGGCCCAAGGCCAGGGGAAAGTGCGGCTGCACTCACCTCAGAGGAACCGGGCTGCTGGCTTTCAGCATCGGTGTGCTGAGACTTTCCCTCCTCCATCTCAGCTTGGTCTCTGGCACGTGTCAGCCTCTCCTCTGTTGCGGTCTCCTGGGTCCTGAGCACTTCCTCCCAGCTGTGTATACATTAGAAGCAGACTGATGTTTCTTTCCTTTAATAAACACTCAGAAGGTAAATGACGGCTGAGGGAGCAAGGCCTCCAAGGTGTTTTTAGTGAGAAAGTGCATGAACTTGGCAGTGTGGCTTGTGAGATGTTTCTGGCTTCCTGGAGCTTCTTTCTGCAGAGGTCCCTGTGGAGGGGCTGCATTGGGGTTGCAGGGCCCTAAGAGTCAGGTGTGGTGGCCCGCTTGTTCCTCTGTGGGTAGAGAGGAAAGGGCAGATTCTGCTGCTTAGCACTGCCTCTGAGACTTCAGGTTAACTTCCTCGTCCTTTCCTGTGTTCCCTGCACCTGCCCTACCCCGCTCTGAGGAGTGAGAGAACGGGCCGGGCAGCTGGATGCTTCAGGCTGAGCCCCATGGGCGCTGCCCACCCAGCGTGTCTGTCTCTCTCTGCAGGACCGGAAGCTCACCAAGCTGGAGCGGCAGCGGTTCAAGGAGGAGGCGGAGATGCTGAAAGGCCTGCAACACCCCAACATCGTGCGCTTCTACGACTTCTGGGAGTCCAGTGCCAAGGGCAAGCGGTGCATTGTGCTGGTGACCGAGCTGATGACCTCGGGAACGCTGAAGACGTAAGTGCCACCTGCCTGCAGGGGTGGTCTTAGCCATGGGTGCAGGGCCATCGTAGCTGGGGGTGACCAAGGTCCCTGGCTTCTGGGGGCCATCCTGGCTGGTGCCTGTGGTCCATTGTTCTTCCTCTCAGAAGTGTCCCTTTTGAGTGGTAAGTCTTTGTCCTCTGAGCAATGAGAAGCCCTTTCCCCAAATGAGAAGAAAGAAATCTAGCAGTTCCTCCTAACATTTGGCTCCGTCTGACCTCTTGGACAAATGCAGCCCTTCCCAGGTTACATCTAGGAACTTCCCACTGTCTCTTCTTATGTGGGACACTGGGAGGTTGTTTACTTCCCAGTGGGATGGCTCATTTGCCTCATCTGGGGCTTTATCTCTGGGCACCAGTTCCTGGTAGTGAAAAGCAGACCAGAACATAGTGAGGGATAGAGGCCAGGTGGCTATGGGTGTTATGACAGCTTACTCTTTCTCCCTGAGATCCCAGTCTGTAGGTCTGAACTATGGGGACAGGGGTCTTTCCCTCTGTGTGGCCTGCAGCCTGGATTTGTCTGAATTGTATTGACCCTGGGGCCTCAGGCAGGACTTTGGTATCCCCTGTCATCGGGCAGCTTTACTCACAGGTGAAGGCACAGTCACCCCTTCCCAGGGGGCATGTTTGAGCAGGTCACATGGGTGGCCAATTGCAGGGAGGGCCTGACCTTCTTGACTTCTGGCTCTGGGGGTTCCCACAGACCCTAGATTCCCCTAACCCTCACCCTAGGTGTCCTCTGGCTGGGACCTTGTCCTGCTGCAGTGGCTTTTCTCTGAGTCAGAGGGAGATTAGGACTGTGGTTGGCATGAGATTTAGTAGCGAGAACTCTAACTCCAGGAGCAAGTGCAGTGTTGTGGTCCCAGCCTGGCTGCCTGTTCAGTCTGCCTCCTGCTGTGTAACCCTGGCTAGGGGCGGGACTGCCCGCTCTCCTCTTTTGCCCTCACTGCCTGCCTCCGGTGGGTACCAGAAGGGCCTGGATTGGCTTTGTAACAGGCAGGACTGACAGGGCTATGCAGACTTTACCACTGGTGAATTGCTTGGTGCATTCTGCCCCGTCCCAGGTACCTGAAGCGGTTCAAGGTGATGAAGCCCAAGGTTCTGCGCAGCTGGTGCCGGCAGATCCTGAAGGGCCTGCTCTTCCTTCACACGCGGACACCCCCCATCATCCATCGAGACCTCAAGTGTGACAATATCTTCATCACCGGGCCAACTGGGTCTGTGAAGATTGGTGACTTGGGCCTGGCCACCCTCAAAAGAGCATCATTTGCCAAAAGTGTGATAGGTGAGTCCGTTCTCCTCCCCAGAGCCCTGAAGCCCACCAAGACCAGGTAGCATTCCAGGGCCACCAGCATCTGTTTTGCTTAGCTATGGCAGACCTGATGTAGGAAGCTCAGCCAAGCAAATGGGCCCAGGGGAGGCCTCAGGCCAGGTGTTTAAGCATCCCTCCAGCCTCTGTGGCTGAGCCAGAGAACTTGCCCATCAGGGAACACTTTACCACTTAGCTGGGGACACTGCTCTGCTGCCCCTTCCCTATCCAGACTCGGGGTCTGCATGGTGTCTGCATTAGCTCTCTGGCTCTGATTGTTGGGTGGGGGTGGTAGATGAGGTGCCAGCTTCCGTGGTGTGTGTGGGCACTGTGGCCACTTGGGAGACAGGAGGAAGCCCTGCTGCAGAGGAACTGGGGAGCTTGTGGCAAGTGATGCTGGAGTTGGTTCCAGCAGGCAGGGATGTACCCCAGCTGAGGGGCCAAGGAAGTAACAACTGGGGGATCTGGACACAAAGCTGGAGGAGGGCCCAAAGCGGTGTCTGCACAGTGTTGGGAGGTGACACTAGGAGATTTTGGTTTCCTGGGGATTTTGGCCTCTTTTCTTGCCCTCAGTCCTTGGCTCAGGTGTCCTCCTCTGAGAAGCCGCCTGGCCAACTTTTGGGGATAGTGTCCTGTGTTCTTGGAGGGGGGGTGCCCTGGACCCGGGGGCAACCCTGGTAACTGCTGTGTGGGGTCAAGGGGTCTGGATTGTGCTATGTGCCCAGCTCCAGGGTGGTTGTGGCACAGAGGCACTAAGGGTCCACTGGACCCTGAACAGGACCTTGTGAGCTTTGGAGTGAGAGCGCTGGGAATCTCTGCTCAGTACCACGTGTGGGGTGGGATTAGAAGAGGCCCAGTGTCAACTGAGACATGGCCTGTCCCTTCCCATTGAGGCAGGATGGAGAGTGCTTGTTCTCAGGCTTCATGAATTCATGGTTTTGCTTCATGCTGGGGGAAAGCACTTGACCTGTGGGGAAAATGAAACCCTTTGGTAATCTCTGGGAACTGCTGTAGTTGGAGTTGTGTGTTTGGAATGTGATATCTGGGGTAGGGTAGCTGCCCAGGGCAGGGAGGCCCTTTGAATGTAAAAGTCTCTGGCAACTCTGGGAGAGCTGAGTGGATAGGGAGCAGGGATTGACCAAGGCCTCAGTTTCACTTTGTGTGAAATGGATGGGACAGGCAAAGGCCTGTCCTCCACTTAGGGGGAGCAGGGCTCCAGGACTGTAGGTAACCCATACCCTAGCTCTGAGCTCTAGGCAGTTTCCAGGCAGGTTTTGCAAATTTGCCCTTGGAAGTGACTCCTAATTTCAGATAAGTGGCAGGAGGACTTCTTGGAGTCTTCTGCCTCAGAAGTAAACATTCAGGACAAGGCGTTTCCTACTCTATGAAACAGAGGTGCCCAGTGAGCCCCCAGGCTTTGCATGACCAGCAAGCTCTTTGCTGTTTTGGAAACCAGGTTTCACGATGCAGGAATGGGTTAGGACAAAGGCTGGGTATTTCCAGCAGGAACAGTGGGGCCTCCCTCTAACCCCCAGTTGCCCTGGCTTTTCTCAGTTGATGTCTAGGAAACTTGATTACAAAGGCTGGGATGAAGAATGCCCTCAGTTGCCCCTACTCTTGGAGCAGTTTAGTTAGTGGTACTCCTCCCGGCCCTGGGCCAAGAGGCCCATCGGCAGCTGGGGGAGGGGCTATGAGCAGGCAGGGGCTTTCCAGGCCTGTTTCCTAGGCATCTCAGCGGGGCTGTGAATGGAATCTCTGTCCCCAGCTTGTTCGTAGGGTTACCCCTGCCTGTGAGAGGTGTTGGTTCAGACTGCCCATATGGGTGTCTTCCCTGGTGGTAAAGGGTCTGAACCCTCCTGGATTCTGCAGCTGCAGTCCTGTTGGAGGCACAGCTTCAGACCACAGGCCCCCTCTTCTCAAGGAGAGCCTTCCCCTGACTCCACTAACATGTGTCTTGGTGTCTTGGGAGCAGCTGATTTCAAGGACCTGTTTCTTTGTGGCCACAGAGTTCTTCTTGTAGGCCTTTGCTTTACCCTTCAGACATGGTGCATGTGGGGTCACAGGTGGCATCAGTGGCTCTGGGAGGGGTGTGCATGGTTTCAGGGAGGCGATATCATCCTCAGTATCAGCTCCATGTGCTGTAAGCCACATGTCACCAGCAGGACTTGCCTGTGTGGGTCTCATCCTCACGATGTGTGTCTTGCTGATTTATGTCCACTTTGCTAGGCCTGGGGACTGCCCCAACTCTCTTGCTGGAGATGGCAATGAGGTGGATGCTATTCAGGTGGTCATGTAGCCAGCTGAGCCCTGGAGCTGCTAAAGTGCCTGGCCTTATCTGGGAGGGCTTCCTGGAGCGGTGGCAATGGAACCAGGCCCAGTGGGGAGTGAGTTGAGGGTAATTATTTTAGAAAGAGCTCTGGATGGGTTGGGGGTGCTAGGTGGAGGTAGGAGGGGGGACTGGACTGTTGGGTACCTGGTGTCTGTTATAAGTAAGCACTGAAAGCCCCCAGGCAGTGTGGAGTCTGCCTGGCAGGGAGACAGGAAGGTGGGTTCCTCTTGTCCAGTGAGAAGGTGGGCAAGGGCCAGCTGTGTTGCTTTAGTTTTGTTCTAGCAAAACCAATGAGGACAGCTAGGGCTTTGATTTCATGAAGAAAGTTATCTTTCATTATAGACCCAGAACCCGGCAATCCTGACAGTGGACAGTTGTCAGAGGCTGTAGGGGTGATCTTAGCGTCAGATTGGAGTGAGTCCCTCTCCACCCACGTCTGCTAGGCCCCAGGATGCAGCCTCAGCTCAGCACGGGACTGAGATGCCTTGTAGTCACAAAGCTGCAGTCACTTCTCTGTAAAAAAGCAGAAGAAAGGCTGGGGCCTGCCTCCTGTGGGAGAGACTTGGAGAGGGGACTGCACCAGGTCGGGTCCCCAGCACCTGGTGTCATGGCTGCAGCCAGGCCCGGGAAGGAGGATGGGGCCTGTGTCTTCACTTTGACACAGACTCATCTGCGGGGACCTAGGGAGCGTGAGTGGGTGGCTCTGCAGTGAGATGTAGGCAAGACTGTCCCCTGGACACACACACGTGTACATGCATGAGCACACACATGCTTGTGTTATTTCTAAATTTCAGATTTAAATGACTACAGTGTAAGGGAAAGGAAGAGTTGAGTGTATCAACATCCAAACGTGTGTATAGAGTTGGGCGGAGTGAGGGGGGTGTCTCTCTGCCATGACACGGAGCTGGGTCTGTCTCCCTCTTAGCCCATCCCTCAAAGCCAGGCTACTTGGTGCCTGCGGTGTTTCCTGAGAGCAGGGTCCCCAGTTCCTTCAGATCTCTGAAGAGACCTAACCCAGGGACACTGCTGCCTCCATCTACACAGCTGGTGAATGGGGGTCCTTGCCGGGCTAGCGGGGGTCCCTGCAGGTGCCAGGGTGTGGCTGGCTCAGTACCCAGTTTCCTGCCCAGCAGCCCTGGAGACCAGGGTCCTGGTAAGCTCCTGGCTGTGATGGATGTGGCCAAGCCCGGGACACGCCCCTCTGAGATTCCTGGCTGGCCCCTGTGGCAGGAAAGGGCTTTGTGTGGTTTCTCTCAGCTATCATGAGGCAAATTCTTTCACATGGCTCCTGGCATTAGGGGACTCTGTTAGCATGGGTGGCACTGTGGAGAATCGAGGGGACCCTGGGGAGTGAGCTCTTCCTTCCTGCAGCTTGGGACTACAATCTGCTGTGCACCTCCTGCCACGGTGGGGTGGTGGGCTCTCCTTAGTGGCCCTTGTGGCTCAGGCCCATGCAGCAGGTGGTGCCCCTCAGGGGGTCTATAGGGACCTGTGAGAGGTAGGAGGGGTGCTGTTTGCCCAGCAGGTGTTCATATTGTCACCAGCCCAAGCTTGGATCACTCCCTCCTGAGGCCTGCCTGTGCTTTTGTGGCATCTTTGCTTTCAGCCCAGACCTAAGCAGGGCATTCAATTTTCTGTGACAAGTTTAATGGTGGAAAGCAACTTGAATATTAACTCAAGCCAGATGGCCCTGGCTCACACCTGTAATCCTAGCTACACAGGAGGCAGAGATCAGGAGGATAGTGGTTTGAGGCTAGCCTGACCAAAATGAATGTGAGACCCTATCTCAAAAATACCCAACACATAAAAGGGCTGGTGGAGTGGCTCAAGTGGTAGAGCACCTGCCTAGCAGGTGTGAGGCCCTGAGTTTAAACCCCAGTACCACCAAAAAAGAAAAAAAGGCCAAAAGGCTAACAATTCCTAGAAAAAGGTTCCTCTGACTCCATTCAGCCTCCATCATTTCTGATGGATTCCTCTAGAGTTCCATATCCTTCTACATAAACCTAAACATACATTTTTGGTTTTCCCCAGTTTACCCAAAGTGTCCACTTTTTTGGTTAGACATAGTGTGTGGTGAACCGAAATAATGAGTGAAAGAAATTTTAACATGGGCTTTTTACTGCGATTAATTGTTTTGTACTATCTTTGCTTAAAAAAATAAAAACTAGAACATTTTGATTCCAAAGTTAGCAAACACAGACATTATAAGCAGCCTTGCTGATGTTTCTGGTCCCTGTTCACTGCTTTCAGCTCAACACTTGATCAGACCTGCTTTAATAAAAGGCTGTTGTGATTCTTAAAGCAAAAGCTCATTATAGAAAATTAGAAACTCAGAAGCAAAGGAAAAGTAAGGAAGAGGAAAATCAAGCCATTGTCCCTCCTCCCCACAGTCATATGGGTTCTGTAGGTGAAGCCATAAGCATGTGCAGGCTTATATGTTTATTTTACATAATCTATCATATGTTCCTGCATCCTTAAAGAGTCAGGGCAGAGGCCAAGCATGATGACTCACTGCTGTAATCCCAGCTACTTGGGAGGTGAAGGCTGGGAGGATTGTAAAAAGTTACAAAAAGTCACAAAAAGTTAGCAAGATCCTGACCAAAAAATAACTAAAGCATAGAAGGACTGGGGACATGGCTCAAATGGTAGAGCACCTGATGAGCAAACATGAGGCCCTCAGTTCAAACCCTAGGACTGCCTGAAAGAGTCAGGGCAAATGTTTTGCATCTTTTGTGTTTCCCACACCACAGCAGTCCAATTTAACCTTCTGTGCAAAGTGTAAGGTGGATGTCGTTTGCCCAGTCCCCAAGGCTGACCTTCACAATGGTGATGATAGTTGCGTGTCTCACGTGACAGTGTCCTGGGGTGTGCCTGGGACACTTAGGACCTTCCTGGTTTTTAATTTTTTTGCAGTTATAAGCAACTCTGGGGTGACCGCCAGGTTTACGTCAAGCCTGGGGTATCTGAGTGCTAGCTGATGTTGAGGCTGTCCTCAGGGACACAATATCCACAGCAAGCCAGGGTGTGCTCAGGACAAAGACATGTCCCCTGAGCAGTCATAGTCTTCCAGCCCTGTGGGCAGAGAGTAGAGCCTCAGACTAATCACTAACTTTAGAATCATGAGATGAAGTTTCAGAAACTTGGTCCTGTTTGAATCCTGGGTCCCTCAAGGCACATTAAGCTGTGCATTCTGAGTGTGTCACCTGACAAATGGGGGAGGCTGGGGTTTTTTGAGAGGCAGGGTTTTCCTGGGCGCTGGCTTCTCGAGCTATGGCCAGCTGATGGTTGTCTGTTGCTCCTGGCACAGGTACACCTGAGTTCATGGCTCCTGAGATGTACGAGGAACACTACGATGAGTCAGTCGACGTCTATGCCTTTGGGATGTGCATGCTGGAGATGGCCACCTCGGAGTACCCCTACTCGGAGTGCCAGAATGCTGCCCAGATCTACCGCAAGGTCACCTGTGTGAGTCCACCCAGCCATCTCGTTAATACGGATGCCGGGATGGGTGTGGGCCATAGTCACAACTGGCTCTGTGGACCTCTGGAAAATTCCCAAGGAGCTGTGTGAGGAAAGAGATGGGAAGCTGAGGCGTGTCTGCTGAGGTCTTGTGGCAGAAGGGTGCTGTGGTGGTGCTTAGCCTCACAGGCTGTCACACACAGGGAACACTGAGACTCCGGAGACCATAGCTCCAGGAGGCGTGGCCAGGGTACCTGTCCCCAGAGCCCCTGCTCTGGGCTGCCCCAGGGCTGCTGGCATCCCCATCTTTATTTTGGAGCCACAGTTTGTTTTCCTTTTCACCAAACCATCCCTTAGCCAAGTGCCTGGGAACCTTAATCCCTGTTTTGCTGTCTCAGTGATTTTTGCGTTGATCCGATGGCTTCAGCTGTACAAACAGATGGGCCTGGTCCTCCCTTTGCGGTGGCCTCTCTGGTTGAGGGAGTGAAAACAGAGCATGCAGAGGTGGAGGGGCCAGGCCAGAACTTTTCTGGGCCGGTTCCTACATTGTCCCATCTTTGTTCCTGTGGTGACGCCAAGAGGCCCTCAGGGCTGTCTCTGACCTTGACCACAGACTGCTCTGATCCCTGGTGTCTACGCTGTCTCCACCTTGGCCTGGGAGCACATCCAGCCTGGGAAGCGCTGCTGGGCACAATGCTTTGTCCATGCGGCTCTGCTGTGGGCATCTGTGTGGCCAGAGACTGCTTCTGCGGATGTGCATGGAGCCCTGGTTCTGGACACCCCTACAGCTCCTGCCTGGGCCTGGCCCTCCAGCTGAGCCTTCTTTGCAGATAGCACCCGTCTCTCTCTCCTTTGGCTGTCAGTTCTAAATTATCAGTCACTTGGTTATCTGGAGCCTTTCCTGTGTGCATAGCAGGCAGGGGGTGGCAGGCAGAGCCCTTGGCTGGTGGCTTTTGTGGACCTGGCTCAGAAACCCACACAGAAGTGCATAGCTCCTCCAGGGAGGCATGGATGGTCTGCAGAAGCAGAAAGAGGGGCTCAAGAGATTTTGGGCGCTTTTTGCTGGTCCTTGGAGGGGTATTTGTGGAATACGGGAGGGGAACCTGGACTTGTGGTTTGTACTGTGGATGGTGGGTGCTGACTCAGCCACTGGGCTAGGGGCAGAGGGCGTGCCAGGCCCAGGGCTGGGTGAGTGGACATTGCTGGGCCAGCGCTTCTGGGGCTCTTCCCTCCACGTCTGTGGGGGCTGCACCAGCTAAGCTCCACGGGTGTGTCTTGCTCCCTTCCTCCTGCTTGGGAAAATTTATGCTTTATGTTCTTTATGAAAAAAAAAGACAGGATAAGGATTTTGAAAGTGAAATCTTATTGAAGGAGGAAGAATGACAGGGTGGAAAACTTTAGTGTGATATTTTAAAATTAGTTACCTCCCCCGCAGGAAAAACCCCCAACCAGATTGCAAATGAACTGTGCTGACTCCTGCTTCTGGGGTGGGGCATATCTGTGCACTTTCTGCACGACCCTCGGTGGTTGAGGAGTGGTTGCCCTTAGACTGGCATCTGTTCCTCCTGCCCCCTGCCCTAAAAGTCTCCTGGCCTGGCCGTTGGCCAGCAGCAGTGACCACAATCAGTGCTCTTGCCCCCCTGAGGGGGGAGGGTGTGGGGAAGAGGTGTGGGGAGGAAGCCCAAGTGTGGTTAGAAAGGCCTGGCTCTGTGGGAAGCATTGAGTCCACCACAGTGCTGTGGTTCTTCCTCCCAGTTAACGGGGAAGCTGGCCACAGGAGGCTCTGCAGCCAAGCTCTGATCAACACCTTTCTAGAAGCTGACTGCTATATTTGAAGTGTCAACCCAAATATCAAATTCTGCAGCATAGATGGAGACTGTGCTGTGTGTTGTTGGGAGGGGGTGGTCATCAGGGAGCTATGGATGTGGGGGCCTCAACCTGGGTACGAGGCTAGGGCCAGTGCCCATGGTGGCTGCTGCACACTGTGACAGATAAAGAAGAGCCTAAGAATGTGTCTTCTATCCAGAGGCCTGAGTGGTAGCAAACTAGGCCACTGGCTTCATGCAGAGGGGAGGGAGATTAAAGAATGAGCCCCACTGGCTTCATGCAACTTGCCCATTTATTCCCTGCCCTGCTTTCTTTTGCCTGGGGATCGAGTGTGTTGAATCTATGAGTTTTCATCAAAGTTGGAAATTTTTCAGGTATCTTTTTCTACCCCTGCCTCCCCATCCTGTCCTTCGGGACCCTAGTTTTATGTGTCATGTACCTCCTTGGCCCTTGCTAGTGTCCCAAATTCTGAAATGAAGGGAACAGAGCCTCTGCAGCAATTTCTCTTTCTCTTTGCTCCTGTCTGGTAGATTTTATTGACACATCTTTTCTTCTGCAGTGTCTGATCTGCAGTTAATCTGCCCTGGTGCAACTTTCATTTCACATATGGTTCCACTTGGTTCTTTTTATATATCTATCATAGCTGTTCCTTTAAAGATTTGTACAGAGCTACAATAAGTTTTTCCTTTCTTGTCTGCAGGTTCCAGTACTCTCCATTTCTGTTGATTGGTTTTCTGCCAGGTCACCGGTCCCATTTTCCTGCCTCCTGGCATATTTAGTGATTTTTGTTTGGACGCTGTACATTGTATGCTTTACATAATCCCTGTTCTGCGTGAACTTTTGGAACTCCCCCCCCCCACCGCCACCGCCCATGGATCTTTGTCCGGCCCTGTGGCATCAACTCTGTGCTTGTGATCTTAATACTAAACAAGGATTTGATGGGACTACATGTAGATATCTGGGCTCTTCATTGTGCATTGCTCCTTCCTTTCTAGAACTCTGCCTCGTGACTTCCTCAGCTTTCCTGAGCTCTGAGCTCCACTTCAACTCTTGTCAGACCCCAGGTTCTGCTGGGTTTGATGTCTCCATCTAGGAACTGCTGTGGGCAGCAGCTGGTCCCTGCAAGGGAGCACCCACAGGTCCCTTCCTCCCAGCCCTCTCATCCAGGGTCTGCACGTGGCCATGTGGCACATTTTGTGCCATTTCCTAGCAGTCTGTTCAGGGCAAACCAAGCACTAGTTCCTTCTTTCATAGCTGGAGGGGGTTTCCCTGCGCTGGGGTCAGTCAGGATGGTGGCGCCTCCAGCTCCCAAATGGTGCCTGATGACTCTTCTCTTTCCTCCTCAGGGCATCAAGCCAGCCAGCTTTGAGAAAGTGCATGATCCCGAAATCAAGGAGATCATTGGGGAATGCATCTGTAAGAACAAGGAGGAAAGGTGAGTTCCAAGGAGGTGCTGGGTCTGTGTCTTTCTCTAGCTGAAATCATTCCAGCAGGCATTCAGAGTTTCATTCCCAAGGAAGGAGAACTTCAGAAGTCAGACAGACCAGCTCAGGCCACAGTGACACCAGAATGGGGAGCTGGTATAGTCAGTGCTCAGCCCCAGGTCCTTCCCTGCCATCCGGGAATAGACTCCACCCTCGCCTGGAGCATCGGAGTGCCTAGGCCTCTACCCTGTTTTGCTTTTTTTTTTCTGCTTGTCTGCAGGAGTTTCATTCATTTCCATGCCCTTAGTGAACATCTCCATGTGTGGATTTCCCAACCTGCTTCAGTCTTGCCCTCTCTTCTGAACTCCAGGCTGTGCTTGGGATGTGTCTAGTTGTCTCACCATCTCTACGGCAGCACGCCCACCTCAGGGCCCTCACAAAGCCAGCTGCCCCCTCAGAGTAGGGCTGGCCTTCCCAGCTGGACAGCCAGAGAGTTGATGGTACTCTTTCAGTTTTCCCTCCCGCCCCCAGACAAACTGGGCAATGCCCGCTCATCCCCACAACACCCTCAGTAGCTGGGATGAGCAGTTAGCTGATGCTCACAGCCACGTGGCAGCTCTGTAGACACGATACCCAGAAGAAGCCAGACCTCCAGCAGTGTGAGCTGTGTGGTTCCATTTGTACTAGGGGAGCAGAGTTGTCTTACCAGGTCCTCCTTCTACAGGAGCCCCTACAAACCTCACTGCTCCAGGGAGACCTCGGACCCCATCATGGCGGGGGCAGGAGAGAGGACCTGGGATGCATTCTACCTCCTTTGGTTCCATCTGGAGTTAGGGGTCCCTTGTGAAGATTAAGAGCTCTCCTGCATATTTGCAGGGACTTTAACTGCACAGCAGGTGGCCTGATACAATGAGCATGTCTTCTTTTGGTAATGAAGGAGCAAAAAGGAAGTCTGAAAACATGAAGCAGTAAGGTCATCTCCTGGGAATTTACTCATTTCCTGGGAATTAAGGACTCCAAATGCATACTGTTGGGTACTGCTCTTTGGACAGGGCCAACCCACCAGATAGTGAAGTGAGAACTTTCTAGCACAGCTCACCTAGTGCCTAGCTGCTTTAGGTGGGTGTCACCCTGATGCTCAGGTGCCATGTTGTGCGTGTGTTTTTGACCACGACCTCCCTGCAGATGCACACACTGTTCTAGGAGCCTGGGCATGGAGGCTCCTTATCCAAGAATCCCTGCCTGTGAGCCGCTTTCCCTCCAGGTACGAGATCAAGGACCTGTTGAGCCATGCCTTCTTCGCAGAGGACACAGGTGTCAGGGTGGAACTCGCAGAGGAGGACCATGGCCGGAAGTCCACCATTGCCTTACGGCTCTGGGTGGAAGACCCCAAGAAGTTGAAGGGCAAGCCCAAGGACAATGGAGCCATTGAGTTCACCTTTGACCTGGAGAAGGAGACCCCTGATGAGGTGGCCCAGGAAATGGTAAGGTGTGCCCATCTCATGCAGCCCTGTGCGGCCAGTAAGGGATTCAGGTGGTGGGGCACATGGTTTCTAAAGGTTAGAAAAAGCCATTCAAAGGTTGCTCCCCCAGCAGGGCCTGTGCCATCCAAAGGGAGTGGCCAGTGTGGATGAGAGGGGCGAGCTGTCCTTAGAAGAAGGTCTGGGGGCCAGCTTGCGGTCAGATGTGTGTACAGTGACAGGAAAGCTGGGTCTCTCCTTCACTGCACAGGATCTGGTAGATGAAGGGCTGGAATGTTGCACAGGGAAGGAGTCAACCGTAAAAGTGGAGATGGTGAGCCAGGAATTTGGACACATTCCAAAAGGGTTTCTTTGCCTCAACCAGATTCTTGCCAAATTTGCTCCATCGTGGTACCTTTAAATGTGGGATCTTTGTCTTTCCTTTTGCTTCAGGGTTACTGCCATGTCTGTTTTGGTTTCTGGTATTTTTCCACTTAAAAAGGTGATGAAAGAGTCCAATTTTGTCCTTTTTCTCCTGCCCTTTCCCTGCATCATGCCTGTCTATGGTGAGAAGGGGGTCTGGCCTCCACAGGAGAGTGGCCCCTTTCTGCCTGGGGTGTCAGGCTGGGCCTCCAGAGGGGATTGAGCCCACTGGTGCAGAAGGGTAGGAGATGGAATTGACCAGGCCAGGCAGGGCAGCAGTGGTCCCAGCACAGGTATGGGCAAGGGGAGAGGCCACGCTGACTCTAGGTGGTAATAAGGTATAATGGTAGTCATGTGGAATGTATGGTAGGGTAAACCATGAGTGCTGGGCTAAATTATTCTGATCCAGTTCTCTAGGCCTACGCCATCCAAAATGGTAGCCACAACCCACTTGTGGCTACTAAAATCTAATTGATTTTAAATTTAATTAATTCAATTAAAATGTACAATTCTGTCTCACTGGTCCCATTCTGAGTGCTTAATACCACGTGGAGCTAGTGGCTCTTACATAGAACGGCATAGACTTCCATCATCGAGTTCTACTGTGTGGTGCTACCCTGGGCCAGAGGGGCTGTTTGAGTTTGCAGACGGAGGTGTGTGTGTGTGTGTGTGTGTACATCTGTGATATTAATTACAAAAGGTGAATCAGCTTATACGACCAGCCAGACAGATGACTGAGAAGGGTGTTAAAGTCTGCACCCAGAAGATAAGCAGGAAAGGGAAAGTCACAGAGGGGCATGCCATAGGGGACAGGAATCCAGAAAGGCCTTCCTTGTTGCAGGGTAAGAAGGTGTCAAATTAGAAATAGAAATAAACAGGCCACCAATATTTAGGGAAGAAGCCTAGTAGAAATGAGGAAGTGGCTCAGTGCAGGAGAGCCAGGGGCTTGACACATCATCACCAGAAAGGTATTTGTCCTTTTGAATTTGTTTTTAAATTTTGTTTTTTATAATAAGTCCCAGAGGCACAGATTCTTCAATCTTCCAGTCAGGAGAAGCCGGCACATTCCTGGTTGGGGTTAGGGAAGGTGGGAGGGAAGTCCATGCCCCATGGGCCCTAAGGGGTCAGGTGCTGTTCCTGCCTTTGCTCCATGAGACCCCTTCTCAGATTGGGAAACTGAGGCTTGGTGATGCTACAGAAGATGTGTGAGCACTCAGAGTTGGGATGGTGGGGCTCAGTGAGCCTTGCATTTGTCTACCCTGAAAATAGCTCCTCCTGCTCATCTGTGAGCCAGGGCATGAAGTACACAAGGGGTCCATGGGGCAGTGGGTTTATATTAAACTTGGAGGCCAGCTAGGAAGGGAGTAGCAGCCTTCAACTGGGATTCCTGTAGCCATGACCCCCAGGGAACTGGGGTAACTTCGAGCTGCTCTTGGGGTTTGCCATGTTGCTGATGGATCGGGGGAAGCTAAGGTTCTGTGGGGGTCCCAGGCTATAGGGCTGCTGGGGGTGTGCCTTGTGCCACTCTGGCCTCTCAACAGCTGCAGGTTGGGAAGCTCCTGATGCCTCTCCAGGATGTCCAGAGGACATCCTCCTACAGGGCCTCAGTACCTAGGACCTGAAGAGAAAAGATGCTTCCTGGGACTGTGGCCAGGCCCCTGCCTTTTCCTGGGCAACAACCCCTATGTGAGGCTACAGTTTCGTGGTGAGGGTAGCAGTAATATACCACTGTTGGGCTGGAACCCAGGCTGGCTTCTCTAGGGGACTTGCTGCACTATCACCTCTAGAGATGTGAGGTGGTCACCTGTGTCCTCAGGCTGCCCCATCCCCCTGGCTTGCCTCTGGTCACAGCTCTGGTCAGACACAGAAACCGCTGCAGTGAGCAGGTCTGTGCTTCCAGGAGGGCCTCCCATGGCTTATGATGGTGGCTGTATGTCACAGAGGTGCGTTTTCAATTTTAATGGTCCGTGTTTACTTTGTGCTGCATTTGGATGGTCATTAGCACACGTGTCCTGTGCTCTCAGGAGCACTGCTTCTGTTCCCTGATGCAATAACTTGTCCTCTTATGGTTTTTATTGCAAATAGTAAGTGTCATTTGAGATGGCATGGCTGCTGTGTGCAGCCTGGGAGCCAATGTTTGGTGCTAACTACTTCCTGAGAGCATCCAGGGTACACTGCTGTCTGGTCTGGGCTGGGGGTGATAGGGGAGGGCAGGCAGCTTCTTGGGAAGGTGGGAGGGAGTCTCATGCACGTGTTGGAGGGGGGTTGTGGGGTACCATGCTGATTCTGGCCTTGCAGGAAGTATGTTTTGAGGCTATCAGTAGCAAGAGTGGAGATAGTGATTTTAACTGGTTTTAATGTGGCAGAATCACCTCAGCAATACCAGGTGACATGAGATTCTCTCATTCCTTCTGTAAATGTGGTGGTGCCTGCTGGGATTTGGGAGCTAAGCCTTGAGGTCAGGGGCTACAAGACAGGTGAGTCATGACAAGAGGATATTGGGGCTCAGCAGAAGTGATTCCAGTGTAGGCAGTGAGTATGCCCAGGAAGGTGCCCGGGATCCCAGATAAGTGGATTCTCAATGTCTAGGCTACAACCAGACCTTGGCCTCCCAGTTAGGCTTCAGTACCTTTGTAAGACACAATGCCCATACCCAGACATGTTCTGCTCAGCTGCTTCCAAAAAAAAAAAAAAAGAGGTACCTCCCAAGACTCCACATCATCTCTGCTTGTCATCAAGGTAGAGAGTGGCATGGCCTCCCATAGGGCAGAGCCATTGTGGATGTGCCTCACCTCAGCCGGTTCCTGGCACTTGGCTGAACTCACAGGCTATATTCCCATGTCAGTTCCAGGTAGGCCCCTGGCCCTGGCACCCTCCCTTGCTTCCCCCATCTTTTCTCCCCTCCTATGCCTCCCTCCTGCCCTCTTCTGTCTCTTACTGCATTGCTTTCATCACAAGACCTGCCATCCATGAAATGGAGCATCCATGTAGAAGAAGGAGATGACTGGTGTCCAGTTAAAAAGAATAGTCAAATAATGTGTGTCCTATACTCTGCTGAAGAAACAAAACAGGCCCAGTCTGGAAGACACCTGTGACTAGCCAAAAGCCATGGATTCCCAAGACAGATTCCATTCGGTGAACAGCCGCACATGGGCCTGTCTTTCAGCAATGATCTTTGCATTGCTGGGCCTCAGGCTGGGTGCTGAGCCCCAGGTTCCAGCCTTACTCTCCTTCTTCATGCATGTCAGAGACTTCAGAGTCATTCCTGGAAGTTCCAAAGCTCCCCCTTCCTTGGACCTGCTGCCAGCCCTTCTCTGGGTCCAGGCTGCAGGGAACCTATACCATACAGCACTGCACCCTAAGTCTTGGGAGACACTGGGGTCTGAGACTGCTCTTCCAACCAAGGTGCACAGGTGTAAGGTGTTGAAGATGCTCTAGAATCCAGATGAGGCCTCCTGGAGCCACCTTGAGGGAGATGAGGATGAAGAAGGGGACATGGGTGCGTGGGAGTTGGAGGTCAGCATGACAGAGAGCAAAGATAAGTGAGTTCTGTAGGGTCCTTGGCTGCCTTTGATCTAAAATGATCTCCAGACATTCAGACCCCATCCTCAGGGGCATGATTCTTGGGCCAGCGCTTCCCTGAGCCTTCCCTGAGTTCTTCTCTGAGCTCTTCCCTGAGCCTTTCCACCAGTGTGGCCCAGACTATGGCTACATTCTTCCCCATTTGGGAAAAAAAATAGAAGGACCTTGGTGAGGAAGGCTCTAAAGACAAACAGACCACGGCTGCTGTGTTGCAGGAAATAGAAGCAACCTGGGAGGGGCTGCTTTCTTTGACAGCTTTTAGTCAGATAGACCATGCACAGGCAGAGGCGTGGGGCCGCCAGCCTTGGTGTAACCAGAGGTCACTTGGAGCCATAGGGATGGCCTTGGCCACATGCTCCCATTGCCTTTGCACACCTGTCCCCAGGTGTCATCACCAACAGTAACAATACCTGCCTGGGGACTGCCCTTGCCAGCCCAAACCGACTTCAGTCAGGCCTGTCCAGCATTAGCTTTCCCACAAAGCTGGAGTCTGGGACTCCCTAGAAAAAGTCTCCTCCCAACTGTAAGGCCAGAAGAGGACCCAAGGCCTGGTCTCCCTCTCATGGAACATAGAGCATCCTATTTTGGGGGGCTGGGCCCTAAGTTTGGGCCTATCCTACCGAGAACTCTCATCCTCCCTACAGCCACATGCCCAGCTTGCTTCGGCCTCTGCCACAGTCAGTAAGGCTTTGACCTGGGATGCTTCCATGGGAGAGCATCATTCTGACAAGCAGAGTTGTCTTTCAAAATAAACTGTTTTGCAATGATCACAGACTCACTTGACAAGTTGCAAAGGTACCACAAAGAACTATTTTTCCCCATGAGCCATTTGAGAATGTTACTGGCCTGCTGCCCATCACCTTGAATATTTTCATGTGCATATGCTACAATGGACATCCTCCTGCATGACCACATACAGCAATCAGCATCAAGCGTGCTATTGACACATCACCACTGTCCTATCCTCAGGCTGCTCAGGTCCCTAGTGTCCCAGCAGCATCATCACATAGCACCTTGGCTCCTTCAGTCCCCTGACTTCTGTGGTCTGACCCTTAGGAAGGGCTTAGGTGTCTCTCTGAGGTGGGACACACTCAGTCAGGCCATGCCTCTGCAGGAATCTCACAGGAGGGGCTACATTCTCACCACCTCCCACCTGGGGGCACATGGTAATGGCTGTTCCACTTTGTAGGATGTCTGGGGACAGGGACACCCTGTGGCTTCTCCATGTGGGTCACTGTCTTGTGGGAGGTGCTTTAAAATTATGTGAATGTCCTGTTGTCCACCAAACTTTCCACTCATTTATTTCTCTTATCTCCCTGTGGACATAGCACAGTATTCTACTTTGTTCAATAGGTCAGGTTCCATGTGCGAGCTGCCCATTGCTTTGTAACTCATCACTCCCAGCCAGAATGTTTACAACGCTCTGGCCGTCTCAAGGTTGGGGTCAGGGCAGCTCAGGGCTCCCCATGAGGCACAGTCAAGTGTGGGTCACGGCTTCGGGCTCAGACCTGACTGGCTGTAGTAGCAGGAGACCCCAGCTCCCTGCCATGTGGGTCTCTGCAGAGAGCAGCTTATGCACTGGCTTCACCTGGAGCAATGATGCCCTAGAGAAAGGGAGGAAGGAAGGAGGGAGAGCGGGGAGAGACTGACTTAGAGAGATAGATGAGGAGTCAGAAAACAAGAGGCAAGGGACTGGGACACCCTGTCCCTTCTGCCCCCAATAGGTATTTGCATCCCACACACAAAATGCACAATGCATGTCAGAATTTGTGGAAATGTCCTTCCAGGCATCATCATACCATTGCTCATTTCGAGGCTCAGATGTCCTGGGTTTGCTAGAGGATGGCCTTGGCACTGATGTACATGTCACTTTGCCTGTCCCAGTCATTCCCTGAGCACCATGTGTTCCCTGAACTCCTACGTCCCTCGAGCTGGACTTAGTCTCCTCATTTTCCTGCTCGGCCCTAAACCACTGGCCCTTCGAGTGGCTCTGGTTTCCTATCGCAGCACCTGGGGCTGTGGATGTTGTTGATCCCAGGCCCTTGGGATGGACAGAGCTCACAAGAATGTGAGTAGCTGCACGTTTACATGAGCGCACACACACACACCCCCTAGCCATCTGTGTGCATGTGTCTTTTTTTTTTTGGTGGGACTGGGGTTTGAACTCTGGGTTTCTCACTTGCAAAGCAGGTACTCTACCCCTTGAGCCATACCGCCAGTTCATTTTCACTCTGGTTATTTTGGAGATGGAGGTGTGGGGGGGGAGGCTCAAGAACTATTTGTCCAGGGCTGGCCTCAAATTTCAATCATCCCAATCTCAACCTCCTGAGAAGCTAAGATTACTAAGGTGAGCCATGAGCACCTGGCTGTATACATAATGCCTCCATCTGTTGTGCAGTTGTCACTGACAGCTCTGGTTCCCATCAGCACTACAGTTCCCTGATCCAGAGTCCTGCCTTTCCTTATGGAAGGAGCCTGGCTGTCCCTGTTCCTCTGTTTGTTCTTTTCTGGTCAGTCCCTCACAGTCACTTGTCCTCCGCATCACCTGGTCCCTCACCAGGATGCCCATTGGTTGCTGCCACCCCCTCCGAGTCCACTTAGGATCCTTAGGAGTGAGGTCCTCAACAGCCGGGTGGATTTGGGATCTTAGTCCTGATCAGTTTTCATGTGTTGTGGTCACCATCTACAGTCCAGCTGGAGCTGCCCCTTGGACAGGGGTCTTGTCTTCAGAATAGTGGTCATGATTTAGCTGTGGATATTCTCAGTGAGTTCACATTGTTTCCTGAGGTCCGGGGGCTCTTTGGCAAAACTCTGTGTGGAAAATGGAGTTTAGGGTTTTGTCAGGTACCAGTGTACACTGTACTGCTCTCCAGGGACACAATAGAACTCTTCTCTCTTTAGAAGGTATGTCAGGGCCTGGGAGGATTTGGGAGCTGGATGCTGCTGATGTCAGTAGAAGCCAGGGAGGGGTGACAAGAGTGTCCTCCTGAGACAAACCAATTTAGGGGAGGCTGAGTGGGCCCCCAAGGAAAGGACCTCACAAGCAGGAGCCACAGGCAAGAGCTATGGTATGTCCCAAGCCGTGGGGTGTGAGATATGAGGTATGAGATGGGGTATGAGATGGGCCTGCTGGTCCCTAAGGCACTGACAAGTCTGTCTTTGCAGATTGACTCTGGATTCTTCCATGAGAGTGACGTGAAGATTGTGGCCAAGTCCATTCGTGACCGCGTGGCGTTGATCCAGTGGCGGCGGGAGAGGATTTGGCCTGCACTGCAGTCCCAGGAGCTGAAGGACTCAGGCAGCCCTGACAAGGCCAGGGGTCCGCCAGCGCCCCTGCAGGTCCAGGTGACCTACCACTCACAGGCCGGGCAGCCTGGGCAACCAGAGCCTGAAGAACCTGAGGTGGACCAGCACCTTCTTCCCCCCATGCTGCCGGCTAGTGCCACCTCCCTGGCCTGTGAGTACATGGAGTTGGGCCACCATGAAACCACTGAAAGGCAAAGAAAAACAAAGTCTTAATCAGGTGCAATGGCTCACACTAGCTACAAGGAAAGCAGAGATTGGGCAAAAAGTTAGGGAGATCTTATCTCAGTCAGTGATCTGGGTGTGGTGGTACATGTTTGTGGTCCCAGCTATGCAGGATGAAGTCTGGGCAAAAATGCCAGACCCTATTTAAAAAATAACCTAAAGCAAAAAGGACTGGGAATGTGGACCAAATGAAGAGCGCCTGCCTAGCAAGCATAAGGCCCTGAGTTCAAGCCCCAGTAACCACTCCCCCCACCAAAAAAAAAAACAAAGAAAAAGAAAAGCTTCACCCTTTATTAGATGCTCTGTAAGGAAGGCAGGTCAGAGTCAGTATAGCACAGCCTATGGTGAGCTCCGAGCTGTCCTCACATAGCTGGATTATTGCCTCCAGCTGTAGGTGGCCCCCAGGAACTCTGGCTGGGCTTCCATTACCTGTGTCAGGCTTACTTCCTGCCAGCCTTCTTGGTGCCAGGGCACATTGCGATATTTGAAAGAGGGTGTGGTTGGGCCCTCTTGGGGTGGTTGGGCCAAGAGACAGTCCCCAGGTGCTGGGACACACAGGACCTGATTCCTTGGTCAGTTTGGATCCAGTTCCCACAGTGTACCCTGCAGAGTGTGGATGGTAGGTATGGGTAAGCTTGGTTCTAGGGAAGGGACTGGGATTTTACCTAAGTCCTCCAGCCACCTGTGACCAAAAGGGGGTTAAGTATTCTGGAGTCTGGCTTCTAAGATCAGATGGGGTCAAACACCTGAGCCAGATCTATCCTGACTCCCCACTGAGTTTGTGGACTTGGTGTAGGTTCCTTACCCTGTCTGAGGAAAACAGTCTCAGCCTCCTGGGGTGGGAGGGATGTGAGGGCCAGGTGAGGTGTCACTAAACTCATTGGAGGGGCATGGTTACCATGACCAAAGTGGGCTGCCTTGACTAGGGTGTTTTGTCACTGGATTGTCCATCTCCTCTGTTATCTCCCACCTACTGGAAAGCCTGTGAGACCTTTTATACGTGTTCACGGGGGTGTAACCAATGAATTGGGAGACACTTTGAAGCAGGCTTTGTCTAAGACCATTTTGAGAGGAGCCAGTATCTTCTGCATGGTAGGCAGAAAAGTATCCTGCGTTTGATCTCAGTGTCCACAAATTCAGCAATATGCTGAGGGGTGGGGGTGGGGGGGTGGGGATGAGACTTTGTCAACTCTGAATCAGCCTGGGGTAGAACTACAGAGCTCAGTGATTTTCCCTGGCCAATATTTCAAGACTGAGACGATTTAATTTATGTAACATACAAATCCTTCATTTATTCAGAGTAGGCTACTTAAGTTCAGGCGATTCAGGGGAGCCACCCTCACTTTTATGATAGTCTGCCCGTTATTTACTTCACTCCAAACTACTCAGCTTTGTTTGGAGATAGTTGCTACATCATTGCCCTATTTCCTGATAAACCTAAAGTTAATAACAGCACAGATTTGTGTGTGTGGGGGGGAAGATGTTCTCTTATCTGACACACCACCACATGCATTAGAATTGTAATTGTCAGACAGTTTCTAGGATGGGAAATTAAAACTCTCCATTTGTTGGGGACCTAGAACTATGTTCAGCTTGTGGTCAGATGTTGTAAGAAAGGTTTGACCCACAATGAGAAAATCCACAGAGGTGTGGAATGGGCACTCTGTCTGGTGTGGGCATTCTCTCTGCAAACAGAACACCTGTGTGCTATGCACAGAAGCCATGGCCAGCCTTCTCAAAGTGCCTTTACTCATTTGTTGTAATTTCTGTCAAATAGATGTTACAGTCATGCAATACAGAATTCAAAAAGTCTGAAAGGGTGGACAGCAAGTCACTTAATTGTTCTCCCAAAGCCAACGGATACCACAGGTGTCTTAACTGTCCTTCTGGAGAGAATGTGTGACACATGTGGTCACACAAATACACATGCCCACAAGGCAGATACATACGCATGTATGCATGTACATAGACCATGTGTCCTATACATATATACATACCACATGTGTGCACACACATGGACACTGATGCATGCCCACTGCCATAAACATCTGACCATGTGTGCACCCCATGCATGCTTCCACACATGCTCGCACACATGCACGTGTAGATGCGTGTGTGAACACACAGTGTGCACCCCACATTCCCTTTATTTGACAATGGATAGCATCCCTCATACACCCTTCTGCCCTTTGCCCTGGCCTCTCCTGTGTTCATTCTCCCTGCTGGCCACAGAATGTTCCATGATGGCCAGCCATGCCGCACCTCATGGTGAGCTGATGAGGATGTCACACACAGCTGAGCAGGACCTGTGTGTGACAGAGTTGGCAAACAGACATGCGTTTCTATGTTCGAAGATGCAACAGTGGGTCACCTTTCATGATTCTCCTGTTAGGAGTCCTGACCAAACTCAGTGGGAAGCTTCCACTGCCACAGTACCTAAGCAGCTGAGGACTGCAACAACGCAGCTTACCAGTGGGTCCCAAAAGGACTTCTAAAATTAATTTTTAATCTTACAAATAGTGAACACAACCACTTTCAACCTGTAAAACATTATACACATAGTTAGAGTTGCTCCACTTGAAGCTTGTCAGACTGTACACATTTTTCCTCCCCTCCCTTTCCCTCTCCCTGTCTGCCTAGGTGGAAATGACTACCTTAATGACCTGTTGGCTCATTAAAAATCAGAGCCACTTGTCTAATTGGTTTTGCCCAATTAAGCCTCAACATTCCTTGTGTCTTCTTAGGTTAAAATAAGTTCTGAGCAGTCTTTTGGAAAAAATGTGTTAATGCAAAGCCAGTGAGACTTTCCCTTGGCTTTATTTAAATGATCAGTGGACATAGTACTCACAATAGTCTGACATGTGGCCCCTTATAAAGATAGCTTGGTTTTCGGAGGTGGCAAATCCCAATGCCTATGGTTTTTGGAATCTGGAAGCAGTAATCCAGAAGTGCCATTTCAGACAGGTTTCCAATTTTCACTGTTCACTGGCATGACCATGCAGGCAAACTGTCTTCCTAGGCACTCTTGGTGAGGCAGAGCGTGTGGGCCGAGGGCACCGGTTCCTGCCTGTGCCCCATGTACAGGTGGGACTGTCTGCCATATCCACAGTTGATGAGGCCGTGCTGGCCTGACCTGTGTGAGGCCAGCTCCTGGGGCGGTGAATGCTCAGTGTTGCTTCTGCCTCTTTGTTTCCTGCATGGCAGATGCGGCGCTCTCTCCAGGTCTCACCAAGGGGATCTCAGCCCCATTTTTCAGCCAAGTTAGACATAGTTCGTGGTCCCATCCTCCCAGTACAGGCCTTTTGCCACGTGTATGAAGATGTTCAGAGTCTGGAGACTCACCCCCTTATAAAACATGGTGATGTTTCTTCCACAACTGAAACATTAGCTTTCTCTTAACTGGAGCGTTGCATCAGCCTCCTAAGCTCCTTGTGCCTGTAAGGGCTAGAATGAGTGCTTACTCTCGAAACGCTACAGGTTCTGCATCTGTGTGCCAGGGTGGGTGGGGAATGGTGTTGTATGCCCTGACATCAGGTTGTGGCAGGGTGGGAGCACAGGTGCAGCTCTTCTATCCTGCTCTGTGGCATGTGATTGTCTCAACAGCATTCATGTATCATTTATGTAATTTGGAAAAAAAAACCCTGTCTTTGTTTCTCAGAAGAGAATACAGGAACAAATCACCATTTGTGTGCAGTGCTCTAGGGGGTGGGCGGTGGCATTTGGAAGTGTCTGTGCTAAGTCCTAATGTCCTCCCCAGCGGACAGCACCTTTGACAGTGGCCAGGGCTCTACAGTGTACTCAGACTCACAGAGCAGCCAGCAGAGCATGGTACTTAGCTCCCTCGTGGACACTGCTCCACCCTCGGCCCCGTGCGTGTGCAGCCCCCCTGTGAGCGAGGGGCCTGGCCTGCCACCCAGCCTGCCCTCCATGGGGACCTTCCAGCAGCCTGTTGCTGTGGTGAGTATGAATGCTACCCCTGCCCTGTCTTCTCAGCCTCCTTGTCTGAGGGCCCCAGAGACTGTCTGTGAGGGTTGTCCAAGCTTTGCTGCCTGTGGCCAGGATTAAAGTGGCTTGTGGTCAGTTCCTAGCCACCCTTCCCCTGGGAGACTTACAGAAGCAGGTCTGTGGGCCTCACAGAAAACCTCATCTTTGCTTGAAATGGAGGCCCAGTACCCTTAATGTAAGCCCTACCTGTAAGAAGTACACAGTCAGGAGACCAACCCAGGAGAAAGAACCCAGGGCTTCAGGGGCTGTGATAAGCCCATTAGGACTCATCCTGGGGTAGGCACCGGTGGTCAGTGACAGCACACAGATGCATGGAGCCTGCCTACTGAGGCTTGGGCCTGAGACTTTTTTCTTTCTTTCCCCACATGATGGAAATGCATTTGTAATAATGAGCCCTAGATTTAACCACACCATCCAGCCTCACAAGAGCTATAGAGGAGCAACCTGGCATGTCTGCCCCAGAGAGGGGCAGCCTTGGAAAGTCAGAGTTCTGGGTCAGCGAGGCATGGGGAACATTTTCCAGTGAGAGGGTTTTCAGGAGGCAGGAGTGAGCCCCAGGCTGCAAGGACGCCTGTGAAGTGATGTGTAAGAGCAACAAAGTAAGAGAGGGGGGTCACGCTGGGCATTTGTTTTTTTCTTTTGCTTCTTCTTCTTCTTCTTTTTTTTTAAACACTGAAGAAAGCAAAGCAATTGCTCGCTTCACAATCCCAAATGCTTAGCCATGGAGAATTTGCCTGTGGTCTAGGTGGTGGAGCTGAGTCCTCAGAGGGTGATTTAGACTCCAGCCTGTGGGTAGGCTTGGTCTTCATCCCTCCCCTCTGGAAGCCCTCTGCCTGGTGCCTTGGTCACCCCTGTTGTCACTTGCACACTTTTGCTGCTGTGACATCTTCTTGGCACTGACTGAGCTTTGAGTTGGCTCTCCCCTGCACGTTGGTTCTTCAAACTGGCCTCGGTTTCTGTCTTCCCCTTCTGTCTACCGTAGGCCTGGGCAGTTGGAAAGGTCCAAAACATCTTTTTGGAGAAGCAGTTGAAGCCCTTGGCTGTGTCCGGACTCATTGGCGATTTGCGTTTATAATTTCATCCAATGAAGTGGGAGAAGGGCTCATTTAAGAAAGGGCTGTTCCGATGAGGATTGCCCAAGTAGGGGCTGAGCCAGATGTTCTGCCAGCTCTCAAGCCTTCCAAACCCACTGTCTGGGTCTCCCCCAGGCCAGGTCTATCATGTGTGTTCTCATTGATGTAATCAGTGTCACCGTCTGCGTTTATGTCAGGAGGCCCTGTGTGGGGAGGTTATAGCTGTGATTCAGGGCCAAAGCTCTTTCTCCCGTCTCCCTGCCTATTGACACAAAGACATCTTAGAAAGGATGGGGCCTGGGTGTGCTAAGGGCTCATCCTATCCTCCTTGCCCTTCGTGAGGGGACTGTTGCTGTGGCCATGTGCCCTGGAACTTGGTGGAGGAGGAAAAGGAGGATCACCAGAAATAAGGGGCCACTCATTTATCTGAGGCCACCAAGGCCCTGTATGAGCTCCCACGCTGTGCACAGAGGCCAGAGCTAACAGATGAGCAGTCTGGCTTAGTTGGGGCCAACTCATCTGCTCTATGACATCAGCAAACCCAGGTCGGAGACTTGATCCCAAATATGGCTGCTCTGTTTGTCTTTTCCCCTCCACCGCCCATGCCACCCTTGTGTAAGCATTGACTGTGAAAGGTGAAGTGAGGGAGAGCAGTTTTGAAAACCCCTTTCCTCATGCCACCAGAGAACCCAAGAGGACATTCAGTACAGGGCAGTATGAACCATGAGCCCTGTCTCAGAAGTCACCGGTGGTATGAAGTAAATCCCAGAGAGCAAGACGTTTTTCCCATAAATATGGCAGTCTACACAATAAGGACAAAACACAATAATGTAATTGGGCCACCCAAAATCAACAAATTAGCAGTGATTCCTTACTGGCATCCAATATCCAAGGGCTCAGACTTCCCCTTCTCTTGCCACCTCATTTAGGTAGCCACTGGCAGCGGGGGCTGGCGTCCTGTCTGTGACCCCATTCCTCTCTCCTCATGGCTGAGCCTCAGAGGACCCTGCCTTGCCGAGGGCCTTACCTGTACCAGTTTTGCTCCCTGCACCTGTGTGGCCTGCTGCTTCCCCCAGCGCACCAAGTGCCTTTTGTTTTCACTTCTTATATTCTGTAAATTACCTGTATGAATTCATCCTATACCGAGTCATCTAGTCCATAAGCTGCCCCCCATCTGGGGCCTAAGGAGCCCTTCTCCTTGGTTCTGCGAAACCTTCGTGATGATCTTTTCTCACATTTGCCTAAAGCTCCATGAGGTTTATGTTCCAGAACGTTCCCTGGCTGGGAGCTGTGGCTATCTATCTATGGCTGTTGAGTGTTGTTAATGATTCTGTAGGGCCACCACACCTGGCTTCTGTTGAGTCACCCTCTTGGGACGGTTCCTAGTGGGGGCTGGGTATGGGGATGAGAGGACTGAGGGCAGTGGCTGAGTGTGGCCCCTTCTGTCTGCAGCCTGGCCTGTCGGTGGGCTCCATCCCTGCCCCTACCCACCCTCCACTCCTCCAGCAACATTTCCCAGAGCCTGCAATGAGTTTTGCCCCTGTGCTGCCGCCACCCAGTGCCCCCGTGCCCACCGGCCCAGGCCAGCCAGGGCCCCCTGCCCAGCCGGTAAGTTTGCCACCTCCTTGCAGCCCTTTTAACTGTCCCTTGTGGCAAGTGGTCATCAGGGCCAGCTGAGTGCCGGTGAGCACCTCTGCAGGCCCCTTCCCTGTGCTCCCTGTGGTTCTCAGGGTCTGTGGTTTGGATGACAGGTTGTGGACAATTCATGTAGGGCCCGACATGGAAGGCTCTGCCAGCTCTGCCGTGTCCCTGGCTTTGCATTTATAAACCCTGGCTGGCAAAAGCCTGGTGGTCTGTGTGCTTGTGTGAGTGTGTGTCTGTGCAAGTGTGTGTGTGTAAGTGTGCATTCTCAGTCTGTATTTTCCTGTGCAGATGAGTACAAGTGACTGTGTGACCGTGAGTCCGAGTGTGTTGTCTGAATATATACAGTGTGTGGGAGTGTATGTGTGAGTGTGTGACTGTGAGTCTATCCGTATTGTCTGATACGTCCAGTACTTGGGAGTGTGTGTGTGTGTGTGTGTGTCTGTGAGTCGGAGTATGGTGTCTGATACATACAGTGTGTGAGAGTGTATGCGTGTGAGTACAACTGAGTCTGAGTGTATTGTCTGGTGTGCATATTGTGTTGGAGTGGATGTGTGAGTTTGTGACCACAAGTCCAGCTGTATTGTCTGATACGTACAGTATGTGGCAGGGTGTGTGTGTGTTTGTGAGTATTCATTGTCAGTGTGTATTTCCGTGTACACATGTGATTTGTGTGTGAAAATGTGCAGTCATGCAAGTGTGTGACTGAGTCTGGGTGTGTTGTCTGAATATATACAGTGCGTGGGAGTGTATGGGTGACTGTGAGTTGAGTGTGTTGTCTGATACATACAGGATGTGGAAGTGTGTGTGTGTGAGTGTGACCGAATCTGACTGTATTGTCTGATATATACAGTATGTGAGAGAGAGAGAGAGAGATGGAGAGAGTGAGAGTGTGTGTGTGGCTATGCATGTATGAGGGTGAGTGTAGATTTCTGTGGTGTCTGACCACAGTACCCTGCCTCAGCAGGCCGGGGTCTAAGACCCTCTTGTCTCTCCAGCTGCCTCCAATGGCCCAACCACCAACCCTGACACAGGTTCTGGCCCCACAGCCCATGGGCTCCATCCAGCCGGTGCCCCCTCTCCTGCCTCCATACCTGGCTCCGACTTCCCAGGTGGTGGCTCCTGCTCAGCTAAAGCCCCTCCAGATGCCACAGCCACCGCTGCAACCTCTTGCTCAAGTCCCTCCGCAGGTACCTCTGGCTTGCAGCCTGCCCACCTTGGGTGGGGTACCAGGTCACTGGCAGGGCCTGTGTGCATGTGACCTGGGGGTGCCGGACTGGGGAGATGGGCTCAGCAACGTGGGTACAAACCCCATGTAGGGCATGTTGCATGCATCAGCATTGCTCTGATGACAAACAGAGCAGGCCTAGGAATGTGGAGGCCACAGGGACAGCCTCCCTTGACTGGGTTGCCCTCTCTTGCCCTCACCTTTCCCTTTCCTGGCAGGCCTTCCTCCCAGGCTGAGAGGCCTCTGGGCTGTGAGTGGCAGATATGGGATCCCTCAGGAAAGGAGGGAGGGCAGCTGCCACCTCACCATCCAGTACACACCCAATCCCAGGTGTGCACAGGATGGAGAAAAGGTTTAGTTCAAGGTCAAGGACAAGGGTCACCATTGGCCTCTGATTGGGCGTAGAGAACAGAAGGACTTGCTTCAGGTGACTGTCCATCTTGTGGTGTTGTGCAAGGCTGGGCTAAGGGCCACACCTCAGAGATCCAGTAGCCAGCTGGGTGGCACTGCCTACTGCAAGGAAGGCTGACCCCTGAGGCTTGTCTTAAGCAGCAGAGGTGACCGCTGATGTTTTTTTCTGTGGGGGCATGGTCCATAACTAATGTCCATAACTGGTGGCAGCTGGCAGTATGATGGGTGCAGACCACAGTCAAGTTGGGCACCATAGCTCAGGCTTATCGCACCTATGATCTTGGCCATTCCAGAGACCCTTGGTGATGGGGATGGGTTGTGATCTCAGTGGTAGGACAGAAGTAGGCCTCATTCTGTAGACAGAGTTTCCTTCAGGGTAAGGGGGTGTTCCTGTAATTTAGTCCCTCCACAAGTTTCTTTGTGGGGGTCCCTAAATGGTTTTCCTTCAGCTGTTGACCACACCATATCTTTGTGACACCACCTTAGGGTCAATTTAGGGGTCTAATTAAATCATCATCTTGGTTGTTGGTGGTTGCTTTCAAACAGATGACAGTAGATTTAAGTATTATTGCTGTCTTGTAATTTCACAAAGGTGAAGGCTGGGGCATGGCTTAAGTGGTAGAGTATCTGCCTAGCAATCACAAGTCCCTGAGTTCAGACCTTAGTACACCAAAAAAAATTAATTGCACAAAGGTGTACACAGCATGATGCTCACAAACACTCATGAGAAAGTGGTATTTTAGAGAGTGCTGTCAGGGACTGACGTGCTCAGTCCACAAGTCAGATACCAGCTGTCTCTAGGAAGTACACTGGTCACTGAGAAGATGCAGATAGAAGGTTCTGGAGTTCTTGCTGTTGGGAGGCTGCATGCCGTGGGGGTGTCTTCCCAACCAGTCCAGGGGCTCTACCGAGAATCCGCCACAGTTAGGTTTCCAGTAGTGCTGTGGTAAGGTTGGGGCTTCAGGCTCTGAGACTGCAAAGGTCTGGGGAGAGTCTCATGGCTCTGACGATCTCAGCCCTTCTGAATGAGAGTGCTCCAGAACTTCAGGGCCCCGTAGTCACTCTTGGACTCCGTGTTTCCAAGCTGCCCCTCGAGGTTGCCCATGAAGCCCACTGGGGATATGGACACAAGGAGGCCCTCCGTGCTGGGGCCAGTGGGGGTGCCCAGCAGGTCACACCCAGACTGCCTGATTTCCTCTTCCATTTGAAAATCTTCACACACTTAGGGGTCCCTTTTCCATTGATTTACGTCTGGAATCCCTTTGAGCAGTTGCACAAAATGTCTGGGAGCAGAGCCATGCTCCCCTCGTGTCACCATCCCCTCATCTCACACTGACTGTACAGGTGCTCTGGGTGAGGACCTGTGGCAGCCACGACTAATGCACTGTTGTGTCTCTTTCAGATTCCTCCAATGCCTGTGGTCCCCCCCATAACACCCCTGGCGGGAATTGACGGCCTCCCTCAGGCTCTCACTGACCTGCCAGCTGCAAATGTGGCCCCTGTGCCACCGCCTCAGTATTTCTCTCCAGCCGTGATCTTGCCAAGCCTGGCCACCCCCCTGCCCGCATCCCCAGCCCTACCTCTGCAGGCAGTCAAGTTGCCCCATCCCACTGGAGCGCCTCTGGGTGTGCCCTGCCAGACCATTGTGCCAAGTGCACCAGCTGCCATCCCTCTACTGGCCGTGGCCCCACAGGGTGTGGCTGCTCTGTCCATCCACCCTGCTGTGGCTCAGCTCCCAGCTCAACTACCAGCCCAGCTCCCAACCCAGCCTGTGTACCCAGCAGCCTTCCCACAGATAGCAACTGGAGACATCCCGCCTTCCCCCCACCACACAGTGCAGAGCTTACGGGTCACCCCACCACAGCCGGTGCCACCTGTGCTTCCTCAGCCCCTCCAGCCTGGCGTTGTCCACTTGCCTGAGCAGGCTGCTCCAGCTGTCACCTCAGGGAACCAGGTAATCTACCTGCAGGGCTTGGGTCTGCCCCCTGGCACCTGGAGACCCTCAGAAGCAGGTTTGAGGGATTCTTTAGCTACTCCCTTCACTGGGTCATGGCTTCCACTGAGTATCTTGACTGAGGGGCAGGCTGGTGCCAGTGAGGAGGCAGAGGCCAAAGCCACTGTAGGGCAGCTGCTGCCTCCTCAGGAGCTGTGAACTTCAAGGTGACTAGTGAGTTCCGTTGTCCCACCCTGTCTAGAGATTGGCAGCTGCCACTTGTGTGCCCAAGGCCTCCCTTGTCCTTACCCATGCTGGTCTTAGCAGGCCCATTGGCCTGTGTTGGCCCTTCTGTGGGTACCAGGGCTCCCATGCATCTGAGGTCAGCCCCTCCCGGAGCACCTTGCCCAAGTGAGGCAAGGTAGACACCCCCATGTTAAGAGAGATGAGGCAGAGAGAGGTCGGGGTATAGGTGCTGAGGGGCTACTGGCTGGAAGATGATCATGGTGGGACCAGGGGCCTGTCTTGGTATCAGATGGGGACTCTACACAGTATGCCAGGTCAACTATGAAGGGTTGCCTTGGTATATAGGAACACCACCCTGGGATGGGAGGTCTCCTGTGTGGTTTCATATACCCACATAGCACACTCATATTTGGCCCTTCTAGGATATTCTGTTGAAACCCAAGTGTATACCTTGGGGAAGGAAGAGCTGACCTGGGCACCTCCCCCCTGGTTACCTCATCTAGGTGTCTTCTGCACCTGTCAGCACCCCCTGCCCATGGGAGCCCCACACATGGGCATCTTCCCACCTGGACACTCCCACTTGGGCATCTTCCATCCTGGCCTCACTCTGGTTCTGAGCCCTGACAGCTTTGTGGCTGGGGCATGGCCCCTGCCTTTTGAGCCTCAGGCATCTTTAATGTGGGGCTAGTGCCTCCTTCTGACTTCATTGTGAGATTCATCTGGATGAAGGGCCCCACATGGAGCACCCCTGGTGCCAGGTGCTGCCGAGCTGTTTTTGCTGATCAAACTGAGTAGAGACCCATGTTCTGAGTACACATGACATCCCCTGGATATTGCTGCTTGCTGTCTTACTTCCAGAGAGTTGTGTGCTTGGAGAAAAAGGACTACTGGCTGGCAAACTAGCGTTTGTCTTAAAAACAAAACAAAATAAAACAAACAGTGGGAACAAGAGCATCAGACTCGTGCCCTCACTGAGTTAGCCACCTGGCTAAAAGATGTCAGCTGCCACTCAGCCCACTAATTCCCAGTGCTGGTCTGCTTCTGGGGAAAGCCAAGAGCAGGAGGCATGGTTTGGGCCTTTCTGCCTGGTGCTGGGTTCCTCACAAGTTGCTCCGTGGCCATCGTACAGGCTGACTAGCAGAGGGTCTAGAAGCTTATTGATGAGCTGGGCTGGCCACCCCAAAGGCACCCCTGTCTGCAGCAGCTGGGCATTTGTCCAGGAAAGCTGTCTTCCTGTTGGCTTCAGAGTGGTGTCTGAGCTGGCTCAGGCTGTTGACAGAGGGGCTCAGGCCAGCAGGCCCTAGTGAGTGCACCTGTTCCATTCCTGAGAGGTACAGACATTCCTCGAGTCTTCAGCCTTCTCAACCCCTGCTGTGGCAGACTGTGACTTGTCATCTTACCTTTTGGCCCCAGAAAGCTTCTAGAAAGAGATAAGCACAGTGGGAAGCCAGCGTGAACGGCAGGCTACCCTGCAGGAGGTTGTGTCTGTGAACTCTCTCAGGGTGCACTTGTGACCAGGAAAGGCCACCCCATGCTCTGAACTAAAGCAGAAAGCCACTCAGGAGCAGGACGTCAAAGGGTGACAGCAGGTGCCCAGCTTGTATATTAAGTGTGTTAGTTATATCTATTGTTACCTTTTCATCACTGTGACAACCAGCAGGGAGAAACAGTTTAAAGGAGGAAAGATAGATTTTTGGCCCATGGTTTCAAAGGTTTCAGATCATGGTCAATTGGCTCCATTGTTTCTGGGCTCCTGGTGAGGCAGAACATCATGGTGGGGAGTGTGTGGCAGAGCAAAGTCACTTCTCTTGCTGGCCTGGAAGCAGGGCCACTGTGCTTCCAGATAAAGAAAGGGGCTGGGTCAAAGTTTATCTTTCCACGCCACGTCCCCATTGATCTACTTCCTCCACTTGGACTCCGCCTCCCAATAGTGCCATCAAGGGATTAATCCATTGATTCAGTCAGAGCTTGAGGATCCAGTCATCTCTCAATAACGCTACCAGCTAGGGACCAAGCCTAGCTAGGACATGAACCTTTTGGGGTACACCTTATGTCCAGGTCACCTTCTGACTTTTTATTGGACTTAGAAGTTCCTAAATGACGAGCAGACTAGGTATTACCACATGGGTAGATTTTACACGGAAAGGGATGTGAAGACATCCACCTGTTTTCTTCTGTTAGCCCCACCACCCCCGCTCCTGTGCTCATTACTGTGCCTAGGCATGTCCGCCTTACCCCAAGCAGCCAACCTGCATCCCTATCCCTGTGCCCCAGGTCCTGCTGGCTCATCCGCCTCCGTACACGGTGGAAGTTGCTGCTCCGGTCCCCACCATGCCCCTGCCGCCTGCTGTCCTCTCTCCACCTCTGCCAGATGTGCTGCCCCCTGCTGCTCCTGAGCTCCTGCCTAAGTTCCCCAGCTCCTTGCCCCCCACAGTGGTGGCCGCTGCTCAGAGTGTGCCCACTCAGATGGCCACACTCCTTCCGCCAGCTAACCCGCCACTGCCCACTGGGCCTGTGATTGCTGGCCCCTGCCCACCCGTCCAACTGATAGTGGAACCAGCCCAAGAGGTGTGTGTCTTGTCCCTGCTCACAGCCATTTGGGGTCTGTTCTGTGAACCTTGGTTCTCAGTCCTGGGAGGTGGAGTGTGCTCTGGGACAGCCACACAGTCCTGTTCTTGTCTCTCACTCGTCCCATAAGCCCATGAAGATAAAGGGAATGAGTTTTATAAATGGGTCTGGAAAACACTTGCCCCTGGAGAGGTTGCAAAAGCCCGTGTGTCCTCTTTTAGGGGTCCTCAAAGTGTGGTAGTGATTTTGGAGAGGAAGCAACTTTCTGCTTTTAGAGAGCCACTTGGCTCCAAGCCTTTCAAAAAGATGAAAACCTCCCTGCTGGCCCCTGTGTGGGGCCCCCTGGCTGCAGGCTGGGCAGGGGGTGGGGTACACTTAGGAAGCTGAAGCACCATGACCCAATCCCTTCACTCTGGTTTTATTTCAGGAGCAGGCCTCTCGGGATAAGCCTCCTGGCCTCCTGCAAAGCTGTGAGAGGTACCCGTCCAGCCTGACCTGGGGATGGGTGGGGGTGCAGGTCCAGGCACCAGCTTAGCCCAACCCCCGCTGCTGCTTCACTTGGATCCTGCCCCAGTTTGCCTGGTTGCCATTGGGATTTTTAACACGTGGCACCCCCTTTTCCAAATCTGACCTGGTTAAGTCTCCAGGACCTTCTCTCAGGGTCTTTGGCAGCCCTGGTTGAAACCTGGTTGTTGGAGGCTGTCTGCTGTAGTCTGGGTCCTGGTGCTGATCTGTGTGCTGAGGGCATTCCAGTCCAGAAGGGAGCGACTGTGGGCAGAGCTGGCAGTGCACAGAGACCTAGAGGTAGAGGAGGGAGCCAGCCAGGATCCCCCATGGGTAGGACAGAGTCGGCCTAGCTCCTTGTGTCCTGGGAAGCCAGTACTCTCCTTACTGAAGGTAGTCATGGGAAGTGACCATGGGCCACACCTTGATAATATACCAGAAGCTGGGTCCTGAGTATATTAGACACCTCCAGACTCTCTGCAGTCCGCAGCCCTGAGTGGCTGCTGTGTTCCTGTTGCTCAGATGGGGAAACTGAGGCACATGGGCTCACCTCAACAGATCAAGAAGCTGAGAGAGCCAAGGTCATGTAGCCAGTAACTGGGAAGCTGTCCCTGTACCACCAAGGATGAGCACTACAGGGAGGAACAGGGTCTTAGGGTCCCTTCACAGGGTGGTTGCCACCTCTGCAAGTCATGGCTTCAGGCCCTGAAGGTTTTAAAGCCTCCAGGCTGGCTGGGCTGACCACAGCGGACTTGCTGATCATCCGTGGATGCCATTAATATTCTTGGTTTTTGCTTAGCTATGGTGGCTCTGATGTCACTTCTGGAAGAGAGCTGAGTGACAGCTGTGAAGGAGCCTTTGGAGGGGGCAGGCTGGAGGGCAGGGCTGCCCGGAAACACCACCGCAGGTCCACACGTGCCCGCTCCCGGCAGGAGAGGGCCAGCCGGCCCCGGCTGACTATCCTGAATGTGAGTGGCTAGGGTGTGGGGTACGGGTTCAGTGTGGTGTTCTCCACAGTCTGACCATCTGCTTCCTGCAGGTGTGCAACACAGGAGACAAGATGGTAGAGTGCCAGCTGGAAACGCATAACCACAAGATGGTGACCTTCAAGTTTGACTTGGATGGGGACGCACCTGATGAGATTGCCACGTACATGGTGAGGCTGGGCCCGGGTGGCGAGGTCATCTCCTTGCAGCCCTTGGGCACATGCAGGGGCAAGCATGTTGAGCTCAGCCCTGTATGGCCGTGTTGGGTGGCCTGTGGGTCAGGCTCAGTGTCTGGGGGCTGTCCCCAAGAGCTGTGGGTCTACAGTCAAGTGCAATGACTCTTGCACCTGGGGATGTGGACTCCTCCCCCTGCTGAGCAGAAACCGCTGGATGTGAGAGGGCAGCTGGAAGGGCGTATTCATAACACATACCACCATAGGATGGTGTGCCTCCACCTCAGTCTATCCCTCAGAATAAAAGGAGGGCCTTGAGAGCATGTGACACAGAGGAGCCAATGGAAATGGCATCCTCATAGGCTGATGAGACATGGTTTCTGCTCAGAGCCATCTGTCAGCCTCCCCATGGAAGTGCAACTCAGCCCCACAGTGCATCCCTGTTCTCCCAGCTCTGTCTGCACCTTCATCCAGAGCTGCCCCTCTTTGCCAGAGCAGACACGGCCTCATTCACAGGCTTCTCTTGGTCATGTGCCTGTATCCCAGGGACTTCTGCTGTGTTCCCAGCTTCTGGCCCTGCTAGGTGTGGGGTCTTGGGCCTCAGGAACTGTTCTGCTGAAAGCACACACAGACACGAACAAAAAGAATGTACTTGTGTATGCCAGACTTGCTGGCCCATCAAGGACCACAGAACAGGTTAACATCCTTCCTAGGTCAGCATTCATGCAGGAGGGGAGTTTTAAGAAGCCATGTCCTAAGAAAGCCGCTGGCAGTGGTGACCCATGCTGCCCCTCCTCACCCCAGGTGGTCCCCAAGCACAGTGAGTGAAGCTAGTGTGATAAGGAAACAGAGTGTGAAATATAACTGCTGTATTCAATAACTTGGCGCTGGAGGTCAACAAAAAATTGCCCCTTGGACTGTTGTCCCCTGGCTATCTCATTAAATTCAGGAAAGCCCTGCCATCTGCTTCTGGGACAGTCGCATGCCTCAGTGTCTGCCTCATCCCAAGCCCTTCCTGGAGCCTAGGCCCTGGCACAGTTGCCTCGGAGTTAGAGAATTAACGTTTCTGCTGCTTGCTAAAATGGTTGGGAGGACATGGCTCGAGACCATTGCAGTAGCTTGCAGATGATGGGCTTGGCTCTGAACGCAGCACAGACCACCTGGGGCTTAGCAGTTGGGAGCAAGAGTAGGGCTGAGGGGTGGAAAATAACCTAAGAGGAAGCATCACAGTACTGAACCCCGTTGGATGGTGTGTCTGAATGCCCTATGCTCTGGCCACGCACATTCACAATGGTCAGCGGGGACTGCCTGGCCTTCTCATGCCAGGAACAAGTGCGGTAGTGTTTCCAGAGGTCCTGCCCTCCAGCCTGCCCCCCTCCAAAGTGTTTTCACATCTTCCACTCAGCTATGTCCCAGAATTCTCTGGATATTTGAGTTAACTTGGCGTCGATTCCAGGTTATACCTGAACCCTGTTTTGTTTTGTTTTTTTCAGGTTTTTCTTCATTTTTAGAGCCTCCTTAGATGAGCAAAACCTACTGCTAAACCCATTTAATAGGATGCTGTGAGGTCATGCCACAGGCCTGCCGTCAAAGTGGGGAAGGAGGCGTTTGATCAGACAGGGCATCTGGGCGGGGGTGGGGCGGGTGTTCTCTCTAAACTGATTTAGCAGGATTCCTGCTATAGCTGGGTTTGGCCCAAGGCAGGAGTTGGCCAGGGTCAAGGCCAGGTGGAGGAGAGGGTCAGAGGTACCCGACTATGGTTTGGCCAGGGACCGACCCTCGTCAGTAGTGAGTGAACCAACACCAGGTCCTCACTCAGCTGCCAGACTTTGACTCTGTACACATCTCTTCCCTCATCTTACCAGGCTGTGTGTGACTTTCCATGTGCGTATGTGTTCAGGAATCTTGATGCATCTGAAGTGGTCCCCAGCCTTGTGCTGCCCACTGATCCTGTTTCTGTAGCTCTCTCTCCTGTCCTCCTCACAGATGATGGCTGTAGGAATTGTGTGTTTGCAAACCCTTGTTTTGAGCGGTTTGTGTGTGTGAGGGAGAGAGGGAAGGAGGGAGGGAGAGAAAGAGCGCACAAACACTTTGTGAACTGGAATCTTCTCAGACTTGCTTTTTCATTCATGCTGGTCCTCCTCTCATTTTGTGGCTTTTTCTCTCCTGTACTCTGTGAAAGGTTTGAGTTGGGTATTTTTAAGCTAAGCCATCTAAAACACCTTGTGAGGAAAACCTGATTTAAAGACGCAAATTTGGCCCAGCACCATAACTATCAACGTGCAGCCTCTATCAGCCTCATCCTCGGCCCTTTCCTGCCCTAGGGACAGAGACTTCAGGGGACCGGAGTAGAAGGACAGGTGTGGTGTCAGGGTTGGGTGCTGTTCCCAAAAGCTTTTCTTGATCCTCCCAAGTGTGGGGTGCCAGGCACTCCTCATTGCTCTGGTACTGGTAGATTTGATTGGGCCTTGAGTTCATTATTCTGGCAAAACTTCCTTGCAACATTAAAGGGGAACTGTGGATATTTGCATTAACTTGGCATTGATTCCAGGTTATACCTGGATCTTGTGTCTTAGGATTTTCTCTGTTTCGTTTTTTAGTTTATTTTGCTCTCTTTTAATTTTTTGAAAAGAAATATGTACCTAACAGGAAACATCAAGGGACTCTGGTTCAGTTTCACACAGAGTTAGAACGTTGTGTACGTTCTGTGCACAGCACACTGTGTCACACTGGATGATGGTGGCCCCAGCATCCTGCCTTATGTGCGTTGTACGCATGTGCTGTGCTGAATTAACAAGTGAATCATAGAAGGTAGCATTGAGCATAGGTGAACTCCTGTCTGGGATGGTGTAGTGATGCTCCTGGGGGCGGACCTGGAGGGGATAGGAGGAGCTCCACTTAAGACCAACTTGTTACGGGTGCAGATGTACCTATCCCAAAGTGATCTGGAAGGACAGATGTCCGAGGCTTCCAGGTGATTGCAGAGGTATGTGGATGGGAGGAAGTGCCAAGGCCTGGAAGAGGCAGAGACTGGACACCTCTGAGCAAGGGAAATTCCAGTCTTTCTCCCTGGAGTCTTTACATGGTTTTCTGAGAGGTACCACATCCTATGCCTGAGTGGGTGATGACAAGTGGTGCAGGACGTGAGCAGGGGTACTGAGTACCCACATGAGAATTGGGGACAGTGACTGTATCCTGCTAAGTAAGCCCTGAGGCTTAACAGAGGCTGTGGTGTTCAGGCTGTGCTGTGGGCTACCTGGCTGTCCTTTCTCACTCGCCAGAGACCTAGGCTGTCCTTGCTGTCTTAGGTGCTGGGCAAGGGGTAGAAGACCCCTCCTGTGTGCACAGCATGGCCATGAGGGCCAGTGGCTGCATGGGTGTCACATCCCCAGCCCATCTGGAGGATGCAAGCCAGCACAAGTGGGCATAGTGCTCTGGAGGGGCGGCCTTCAGAGTCCAGGGTTCAGATGGAGAGACCACAGCCCTGGCAGTGCTCCCTCATGGCATAGGAGCCAGGCTGGAACCTAGACATCTGCCCTAAACAGCCTCTCCATGCCCAGTGTCAGGTCAGCCTGGCTCAGTCTGGTTGATTTTGGAGACACTCTTTCTGGACTTTGCACTGAGAAGAGCCACATCGCTGTTAGGTGGAACCTGTGTTGAGAATAACCCATGAGAAGGCCACCCTCGAGTTCCAGTGAAAATCAGGCACAAGCCTCCTGGACAGAGCCATGTGGAGAGGCGCATATAAGAAACTCCCAGGGTCAATGCTGGGAGCAACAGGCCATCCCTCTGAGGGGACTTTCCTAGCCTCAACTGCTTTGTCTATCCCTAGAGTCATCTACTTCTCTCACTGGACCATGCAACCTCTATATGGGGACATGACCCTTTGCCACATCTTCCCCTGGGGCCTAGGACAGCGTGGAGAGCCATACCTCCCCGAGGAAGCCCTAGTATAGCCATGGCCTGCAAGAGGTCATCACCAGCCATACCATGTCCCCTTGCAGGTAGAGCATGACTTCATTCTGCCAGCTGAGCGCGAGACATTCATTGAGCAGATGAAGGACGTCATGGACAAGGCAGAGGACATGCTCAGTGAGGACACAGACATTGATCACGCCTCTGATGCGGGGGCCAGCCCACCGCATCTGAGTACCTGTGGCCTGGTCTCTGGGGAGGTGAGAACCTAGGTCCCCAGGGAGCAGTGGTGGATGTGGGGGTGGGGGGGCGGTGGGAAGGGCAGATGCTTCAGCTCTGCAGGAAGTTCTCACTAAGTGTGGGCTGTGCTGACTTCCGATCCCTCTCCTTCATGCAGGAGAGTGGGCAGTCCCAAGCAAACGCCCCCGTGTATCAGCAGAACGGTGAGTCTGCCCCCGCCTTCGGCCTCTGGGAGCAGCATTTCCCGAGGTCCCTCTGCTCTGCAGCAGGGGTTGCGCAGAGGCCTTCATTGCACCTGGTGGCAGAGAGTTGGGTTATTGCACTGGAGGGATATGAGAGTATGTGGAGAAGGAGGTCTCTACCTGGGAATGGCTCCCCTGTCTGAGGACCATTGCCTACTGTCTGACATCACCACTTGCAAGGCTGGTACTAAGGGCACCTGGGAACTAAGCCCGAGTCAGGACTTCTGAGAGTGAGGTGTCCCTGGTCAACTGCTCAGCTCTCATCTAGGGGAAGGAAGAGCAATGGAAGCCCCTCCCTAGGACCTCTTCATCAAGGGGCCTGGGGCCTCCTATCATGAGGGAGCTATTTAAGATTATTAGGGCCCATGGTTTTCTGGAGAAAACCCTATAGGTACAAACGAGTTGCTTGGAGCCCCCATTGGCCATTCTGGTGCAGCATCAGGGGTCACCTGCTCTAGAGAGAGACTTGCTCCCTCAGCACGTCGTTTATGTTCTGCTTCTCAGTCCTGCACACGGGGAAGAGATGGTTTATCATCTGTCCAGTGGCTGAGCACCCAGCGGCCGATGCCCCTGAATCATCACCCCCACTTCCTGTAAGCTCCCTGCAGCCAGAAGCCAGCCAAGGTAGGAGCAGCCAGAGCACTGCAGCCCTCCCTGGCAGCCCTTGACCTTTCTCCGAGCAGCCCTTTGCTGTTGTGCACTGCTGGCTTAGCTCCAGTGCAAGGGGCTGACCCACACGGATACCTGAAGCTTAGGGCAGCTATGAGGCCATGTCCCCATCTCTCCCTGTTTGCCACTAGATCAGCCTAGTCAGGGCAGCATCTGCTTAAACGGCCCTGTTACCTCCCCCATGCAGGTGAGACGCCAGCAGCACAGGCGTGTGCTGACGATCTCTGTGCCCTTCCTGCCCCGTGCTATCTAGTGACCCTTGCACCCATCCGTCCTGGTCTGCAGTACACTGTGGTGAACACACCCTGGGGTGTTCAGTTCTGAGACTGTGGATTTTCAGTTGTCCACATGGACATTGATCTGTGCACCTGGGCAGCCACACGCTTGCCACACGCTTGCCTTTGTGCTGTCATTTGAATCTTGATTTTTGTGGTGCTTTGGGAGCCCAAAATAATCATTCAAACAGATTTAAGGTTTAATTCCCTATCACTTGACAGGAAAGAGTGGCTAATTAAGTAACTTGGCCTAACATTATGGTACATTCGTGAAAAATGTTTGTGAATCAGTTTTGATTTTCTATCATGTGTTTCCATTGACTTCCGTTATACTTGTAGAGTTTTGTTGGTACAGGGAAAAAGATCAGCCTCCTAGTAAAACCCTCAGTTTGCCATACACTGTGGAGCGATGGGCCCAGCCTGATCTGAGGAGTCAGGGACCAGCAACTTTATCTGGAGAATCACTTTAAAAAGGAGAATTTGTTCACATGCTATCTCTTCTTTGTACTGTGCACACTCCCTGGTACAAGAAGAACCTTTACTAAAATGAAGGTAAACTTTGGTGAGTGTAGTCTAGGGGCCAGTGTGGAGTGAAGAGTGCAGAGATAGGACTGGGCATGGTACAGCACATCCATAAATCCAGCTTCTCAGGAAGTGGAGATCAGGAGGATTGTGGCTTAGGTCAGCCTGGGCAAAATATTAGCAAGACACCATCTCAGCCAATAAACCAGGCTTGGTAATGTGCATCTGTAATCTCAGCTGGTTTTCGGCCAGCCTGTTTTTGTTTTTTTAAATATGTGAGACCCTATCTGAAAAATAACTAAAAAGCAATAAAGGGCCAGGAGCATGGCTCAAGCAGTAGAGCTTCTACCTAGCAAGTGTAAAACCCTGAGTTCAAACCCCATACCGCCAAGAAACAAACAAAGCAACAACAGAAAAAAAAAAAAAAAAACACTTTGAGAACAGAACTAATGGATAAACCCCACCCAGGTTCTAGCTTGGCTCCTGAGTGACACATATCAATTTCAGATCAGATTAGAGCTGCAAAATCACTGAAAACTGAACCAACTGGAACCACAGCCCACTGGAGCTAGGTTGCAACTTGCAGTCTGCACCTGACCATGTTGATTGCCTGCTAACGCAAAAGTACCAAAACTCACCATATGGTTTAAACAAGATTCAAGATTTCATACTATCAGCCAGTGCCAGTGGCTCATGCCCTATAACCATACCCTTTTGGAAGGCTGAGATCAGAGCAGGATCATGGTTCGAGGCTAGCCCGGGCAAGAATAGTCTGTGAGATTCCATCTCAATGGAAAAAAGGTGGGTGTGGTATCACACACCTGTCACCCCAGTGATGATGGGAAGCATAAAACAGGAGGATCATGGTCCAGGCAAGCCTGAGCAAAAAGCAAGATCCTATCTCCAAAATAAGCAGAGCAAAAGGAGTTGGTGGAGTGGCTTAAGCAGTCGAGTGCATGCCTAGCAAGTGCAAGGCCCTAGTTCAAACCCCAGTACTGAAAAAAAAAATCATAATATCATTTAAGATACTGGGAATAGAATCCAAAATTATTTGGCAAGTGAAAAACCACGACAAACCAACACATTGAATGCCAGGATGGCACAGGCGTTGGAATGCTTTGATACCTTCAAGCAGCTGTTGCAGGCTAGGGATAAAGCTCAGTGGTTAAATATTTGCCCAACATGCATAAGGCCCTGGGTTCAATCCTCAGTACCAAAACAAACAAACAAATAAATAGAGCAGCTATTATAAATATGCTTGAACAAGCATTCACAAACAGCCTTGAAATAAATGTTAAAGTGGGAAGTTTCGCCAACGAAGAGGATGTAAAGAAGAAGGGAATGGAAGTTTTAACATTGGCAATGAAAACACCTGAAATTATCCAACTAGAACACAGGAAGGACAGAAGAGCATCAGTGTACTTTCAAGGACCTATAGACAATAACAAAAGGTCTTAACACTTGTGTCAGGGTTCTAGGAGAGGTGAAAGGTACGTACAGTGCTGAGAAAATATTGGAAGAAACAAGACGGGAAAGTCCTCAAATTTGACAAAAAGCATAACCTAGCGAGTTAAGAAACTGAGCAAACCCCAAACAGCTTCAATCAGAGAAATCCACATCTGTACACTTTATCCAACTGCTAACATGAAACACAAAGAAAAAAATGGTGAGAGCAGTGAGAAAAAAATGGTGCATTACCCAGATGTACTGCAGAGTTCTCACCAGAAACCACAGTTTCCAGACAGAAGCAACATAGAACTAAAAACTCTCAAAAGGGTCAGGGGGCGTAGCTCAAGTGGTAGATTGCCTGCCTAGCAAGTGTGAAGCCCTGAGTTCAAACCCCAGAACCAAATAATATGGGTAAAAAGAAGGCGGAAGGTAAAAAAGGTAGAATGCGCAAACATGTCTCGAAAGAATACTGGAGTAGCTATTTTAACTTCAGACAAATGACGTCAGAGCAAAGAAAATTACCAGGGCTAAAAGGAGATACTACATATTCATCAGAGAACCAATTAATCAAAAATATAAAATAGTCTTCAATGTGTATGCATCTAATTGTGGAGCTTCAAAACGAGTTGAACTAAGCTGAGTGTGAACATGCCTGCAGTGCCCGTAGTCTCAGCAACTGAGAGGCTAAAGCAGGAGGATCTCGAGTTCAAGGATAGCCTGGGTTGCATAGTGAGATCCTGCCTCAAGCACCCAAAGGAGGAGGGGAAAAAATACAAAAAAAAAAAATCAAAACAACAATAAAAAACCCTAACAGACCTAGAAGGACATGTCCAACTGAACTGTCTGAGGCCATGGATGACTTTGTTCTTTGCTTCTTGTGTGTTTGTTTCCTGTAATGCACATGTTAACTTAAAAAATAAAGGTTATTTTAAAACAAAATAACAAAAACCTCTAACGGAAATAAAAGCAGAAACAAACAGTTCTACAAATGCAGTTGGAGACTTCATTACTCCTCTCTCAGTAATAAATGAAACAGACAGAAACAGCAACACAATGGATTTGAGCCTCAGTGTGAACCAGTTTGACTTAATTGACATAGAACACTCAACATCAAAAGAATGCACTCTCTTTTCCTGTACATCTTGGGACAATTACCATATCCTGAGTTATAAGACAAACCTAAGGAATAAAAAGAGTAGGCATTATGTTCTTTGATACAGTGTAACTAAGAATTAATAGCACTTCTAAGTGATTGGGGAAAGAAATAGTCTCAGGGAAAATTAGAAAATATTTTGGAATTAGCATGAAAATATGACATAATAAAATTTGTGAGATGAAGCTAGTGATACTTAGAAGGAGATTTACAGCACTAAATACTTGGACAAGAAAAGAGGTCTCAAATCAATAATGCAGCTTTCTATCGTAAGAAACAAAAATTAATACAAAATAAATCCAAAGCAGGCAAAATGAAGAAAACAAAGAACAGATACCAGTGAAATGTAGAACAAACAAAATAGATACAAGCAATAAAGCCAAGCCTGGTTTTTTGAAAAAAAAAAAAAGGTCAATAAAATTTTAAACCTGTACCAAGACTGACAAAGAAAAAGACATAAAATGCCAGTGTCAGGAGTAAAAGAGGCATAGCACTATAGATACAGGATAAAGGAATGATAACAAGAGTAATATAAGCAAGCCTACAGACACCAACTAGACAATGTATATGAAAATAACTCATTTTTTAAAAGCAACAAACTGCTAAAACTCATCCAAGATGGGATAGCTGAAACAATCCTATCCTTATTGAAAAGACTGAATCTAAAGTTTAAAATCTCTGCAAAGAATTTTCCAGGTCCAGATGATTTCACTGGCAAATTCTACTAAACATTTAAACAAGATGTAACACCAATGCTAGAAAATCTCTTCCAGAAGGTATAAGAGGAAGTAGCACTTCCCAAATCATTTGAAGAGGTTAGCATTAATTACCCTTTTAGCTCCACCTTTTTTTTTTACCAAGATGCAAGAGTGATTCAATGAAGAAAGGTAGTATTTTCAATAGATGTATTGAATAATGGCTCATTCTCAAAAAAAAGAAAAGAATCTTGATCCTAAGCCTCACATCTATGTAAATATTAATGCAAAACTATGACTTTAGAAGTTGCCTGTACCTGGGGTTCAGATCCAAGGTATCAGATCTGCAACAGAGAAAATGGGTAAGTCAGACACTCAAAACTAAAATCTTTTACTCTGTGAAAGCCATCATTGAGAGAGTGAAAAGATGACTTATAGACTGAGAGAAAATAATTAAAAATCACATATCCAACCTAGTTTTTGTATCTGGAATATGTAAAGAATTCTCAAAACTCAACAGTAAGGCAATAACTCAATTAAGAAATGGGCAACCAACTTGAAGAGTCACCTCACCAAAGAAGATATTGTATGGCAATTAAGCCCATGAAAGTTTAATAAAATTAAAGACACTCAGAGGAACCACCATGCACCTGTTTTGATGGTTAACCTTATAATATCAAGTGGAAGTCTATGGAACAACTGGAACTCAAAAATTTCTGGTGGTGATGTGAAATGGTACAGCCATTCTGGAAAAACAGCAGTTGATTATAAAGAACACACTGTATGTCATAGCAGTTTCACTCTTCAGAATTTACTCGAGAAACATGAAAACTCACATTCACTTAAACACGTATATATGAA